TTAACCAACAGCAAATACTTAAATTTCACCATAAATCTATTTTGTTTGTTTGTTCCCTTTAAACCAACACTGCTTATAAAAGTTTGAAAACCCCTGGTCAAATCAAAACAAGTGAAAAGATAAAACACTCTCTACAGCAAACAAGCTCATAATCTCGTTTCCAAAAAAGCTGTGCAAAATGTAGTAAAACCAGAATGCAATAATTTGCAATTAATTTAAACCTTATATTTAACTGAAAGTAGTAAAAGACCGCATATCAAATATTAAAACTGAGTAATGCTGTTTTCTGAACATTATATGTGCATTTTGAATTTGATGGCAGCAACGCATTTCAAAAAAGTTGGGACAGGGGCATGATTACCACTGTGTTGCATTACCTCTTCTTTTAACAACACTCTATAAGCGTAAGAGTGGAGCGTGGAGTTCTGAAAGTTAATTGTTTTCCTATTCTTGCTTCATATAAGATTTCAGCTGCTCAGCAGTTCGGGGTTCTCTTTGTCATATTTTTCATGTCATAATGAGCCCAATGTTTTTAATGGATGACAGGTCTGGATGCTAACTTTTGAACTGTGCGCTGAAAACAAGCCAGATAGTCCCTCTTCTCTGTAGCCCAGAGGATGCGGAATTCATGATCGCCAAAAAGAATTTCAAATTTTTCCACTTCCTCTCAGTCCATCTTAAATGAGCTCTGGCACCGTTTCCGGATCCTGTTTATACATGGTTTCATCTTTGATAGGTAGAGTTTTACCTTGCATCTGTGGATGCAGCAATGAGCTTTTGGAAGTGTTCCTGAGCCTATGCAGTGATTTCCCCTACATAATTGTATATGTTTTTAATGCAGCGCCACCTGAGGGCCCAAGGGTTTTCGGTCTTATCCCTTGCATACAAAGATTTCCCCGGATTCCCTGAATCTTTAAATGATATTATGTACCATAAATGATGAAATTCCCAAGTTCTTTGCTATTTTATGCTATTTATTTTTGCACAGCCCAAATTACCCTCCCAATATTTTAAATAATGCAAATAAACAGTAATTGTGCATTAAAATGTGCAGAAGTGTGTTCTCTGTAGAGGATGTGTTAACTCATTTTCACTTAAAAAATCAAAACTTGTCCAAGGGTGGCCAAACTTTTGCCTATGACTGCACAGATAAATGTGTAAAATTAGTTGTGTATTCAACACAAGCAAAAACACTTTGGGCATTAATGAATCAGCTCTACAGACTGTGTCTTACATGCTTCCATTCATGTAGATAGGGCAGGTAGATCTTGCCATTGGCATCAATGTGTTTCCCAGTCTTGATCATCATCGCACTGGTAGGTTTTACAAAACAAATGGGAGGGTTGTAGGGATACGTATCCAACAGCCATAGACACACAGGGATATTATACACATTTCCTATGAAGAGAGATGTAAAGAAAACCTTAAGGAGAGAATACAGTCTGTATTTCTTTAATTATTAAGTTAAATTGAGTAAAAATGCCAAAATGTGTACCAAATGCCAAAACATACAAGAAAAGCTTGCATTCATACCTCTATAGCTTACTGGTACTGTCCCCGTTAGACTCATTAACTCCCTTGATGATCCATCATTGAACACTATCGGGGAAAAAAAGCACAAAAATATGATTCCTTAACCTTAGGTTCTAAATATCTCTCTCATCACACCAGCCCTAAGTATCCTGCTTTTGTAAAAGTTTTAAGCAACTCAGAAAATATGTAAAGCTATTAATTTGGGCAGTAAGCACATCTGCACACAAAAAACACTAACATTAGTAATACACAAATAAACGAATAAGCAATACACTGTGGTTTTAGGTGTTAGCTTAACCATTTTGAAAATTCTCCTTGAGAAGGTCCAGTATTTACAGTTAGCGTCATATACCTGCTTCAGCTAATCAAACCTTCATTAAATTAAATGGAATTTAACAAATCTATTCAATGACTGCAGTGAATCAAGAAATCCACAACCAAATCTGTGTTCTTCTAACTGTAATCAATTGTATCTTTAACTGTATGCATATTATCAAAATCCTTTTAAATACAAAAAAACATATATTCTAATGTTATATAGTGTTTGCACAGACAAAAACAGATTTAACCCTTCTAAAACCATCATACCCAATACAATACTCTACTAGCCACTTCCGAAACCCCTATCTTGTGAGTCCATCTGGTGGACAGTAGAGACTATAACCCATCTACTGCCACGCATAATTTGTGTCAGCTGCCCCTTTGCAATCTGTGGTCAGTTTCTGACAGCAGATGCACTTTTGGCTGGATATTTTCTTTTGGTGGACCCCTCTCAAACTCCCAGTGACACAAAAGTGCATTTAAACTACAGCTAATTTGTCACAGCGCGTTACACCAGCGTCACATCCACTACCTTCCCAGCAATATTCAGTTGATAACCAGGTAAACAGCAGTCCTGTGGTCAGACACTCACCAATGATTAATTGGGCATGGTGTGGCTGATGAACTCTACAAATCTACAGGCTACAGTCTGTAATTGTACACCCATATATATGGATTTCATAAAGTGGCCAGAAAGTAAAAGTAAGCTGTCTCTAATAATCTGATGTGTGATAGTATATGATGGAAAATAGAACAGAACTTACCATAAGAATCCATCATAGGCTTTAAGTCTTTGTACTGCAAGATGACATTTGTTATCTCACGAACAGTGAGGTCACGGTATTTATATTGCTGAATAGTGAACAAAAGTAGGCAGAATGAAAAGGGGGTTATTTACAGTGATTAAGGATAATCACCATATAAATTATACATATAGCAAAAATGCTTTCTGTCCTGCTTATGCACCAGTGTTAGCAAATAAACACAGTAATGTTAAGGAGTTCAAAAGCTCACGTTACTAGGTTGACCATCAGGGACCCAAGTATGGATTCTTTTGATGTATATTTTCCCTTTTAAACTGTTTTTAGGAGAAAATCAACCAGTGAAAAAGTATGAAGTTTTTACATATTTCACTTTGGAGTGTATTTTGGGGAAATGTTGCAAAATTGCAACCACTGATTTTTTAAGTGACAACATTTTCTCACTGTGATCTTATCAAAGTTTAATTTAATCCAAAATTAGTGAGCCTATAACACACAAAGACTAATATACTGTCGCTGTCAGAACAAAACCTTGTATCTCCAAAATGGCAACTTAAAAACTTCAAAAAAAAACAACAACATTAATTCAATGCAAGTTAATGTAAAGATGTTTTATTACAAACAATTTTGGACCATTTATGTTGGTCTAATTGTCATGAAATTGTCACAAAATGTAAAAGTTTTTTTTTTTTATTACAGCAATGATGAAAAACTACATGAACTGTATGCAATGCTTTGTTCCAACAGCAACAACGTGCTTTATTTTACACGTAGCATGAATTTATATCGCTGCTCTCGGAATAAAACATTTTTTTAGTTTTCGACATGATTTAAAAAACATCTGTTGCCCTTTACATTGTGTGTAAATTTCATGATGAATGGACCAAAAGAAACGGCCCAAAATGACTTGGAAAAAATAGTTTGGTTACACTGACTTACATTAAAAGTATGTTTTTTTTTCCTTCGCCTGTAAAGTTATTTTTCTGCTCCGATAGCAGCTTTACGCTATAAATACAATAGGGAAGTCTGCACAAAAACCATGAAGTCTCTTGTAGTTCCTGCCCCCAAACACCTTATTCCTCTTATTAAGAGCCTGCTGGCTAATTAACTAAAGAAGTGAATCAGGTCTGCTTTACCCACTGATTGTAATAGACGAAATGTGTGAATAATGCTAAAAAGTGGTGCATGGCTCATTTTTGCAACGTTCACAAAAATGCCTCAAATGTGTGAATGTACATCTTTAGCTTATATGTGTGTTACTATTGTGTCACTAATCGAAACTCAGATAGTTAGTTCTCGTTACTTGTCAGATTGCTAACAGACTGCAAATGTGATTTTGAAATGCCTTAAAATTCAGAATATTGTTATTATTATTATTTTACTTTATACCACAAATGATGCTGTAATACAGTACAGAGTATGAACTGTTGAAATGGGCAGTTTTAGTGACATTTAATTCAGAACTATGCATAGAGTATTAGAGTATTGTTGAAATGTTGTAGCTGAGGGTCTCTGATGGTTGAACTACCGGATACAGTTTTCATACGTCGTTGTAATTTTCACTTAAACATCTACTAATGGCGCTCTATCGCTATACTGTATATATAACAAATGGCGTTGTAAACTGCTATAAACTGTTACCAGGATAGCTTATTTAATGTTGGGTCAGGGTTGGTGAAGCTATTAAATAGTTCGCAGGCTAGCTAACAAGGCTGGCTAGCTAGCTACCTGACTCAAAATCATTCACCATATATCGTAAACAAATAAATAAAACCACTCAACTGCTTACCTTCAGCGACTTTTTAAGCCCGCCTTCGCTGACAACCGCCATAGCTGACCTCCTAAACCTTTCTCACGATCTTTTAGAAATAAAATAAATATTAACTGTAGCTATAATGTTAACCGGCCACTCAGCCAGCTAAGTTAACCTAGCTAGATTCAGTAAGTTAACCCTGGCCTGGTCCCCGGCTAATCCAAGCCAGGGCCAGGAAACTGTCAACACGAGAAACACTACTAAATCTTAATTTTTGAGACCAGTACGCGATGGCGACCTGCAATATCACACGGTTAAAACTGTTGGGAGTAATTCAGTCATTTATGGAAACCTCCGAGTCAAGTTTAGTTCGTCGAGAAAGGTAAATAAGGCAAGTGCACTTCGCCAAAATGGACAGAGAGCTCGACTTCTTTCTGAAAGTGAGTGTAGGTTTCAAAATAAAAGTCTTTTATTTTCATCAACAGACGCTACGTGGAGAAATCGCTATTCAAAATATTATGAGAGGTTGAAAATCACGTACACATCGATATGTAACGGTCAAAAAGTTTTTTTTTCCACTATATGTTCTTAAATGTCTTCGTTTCATTTCAAATAAGCCAGAAACACTGTAATAGAAATAACTATGATGTATTTTGATGTACACTTGCAACCAGGAGAATCAACATTTTCTAAAGCACTGCAAACAAATACGCACCCATACAACATTTTAAAAGAAACGTTTGTTTACATCATTAAGATATAGAAGGATTGAAAATTATAATAGAACTAACTATTAAAAAATAGTTATTTAGATGTACATTTGCAACCAGGAAAATCAACATTTTCTAACGCACTGCAAACAAATACGCATCCATACAAACAAATCTAAAAGAAAACTTTGTTTACATCATTTAAATATAGAAAATAGACACATGCTTTAAGTCATGAACATGACTAGATCTATCCTGTTGTATTTCCATTAGGTTGTGTGTACCCCATCATTTACTATGTAAATTATACATGATTCAATATGAATATATACAATTACATACAAAATATGAATACAGTTTGTACACCTAACAGTTGGTTTCATTATTGTCTTGGAAAGGTAACCCGTCCTCTCTCTGCAGTGTTATGTGGGAGTTGTCTAGTGTGGAGCAAGTCTGTGAACTTCTCAGAGACTCTGCTACTAAACCTGCGGAAAATATGATAACTGTTAGAACAGGGAAGAATAATAAGGTTTGCAGTTTCAGATTCTCCAAGCTTTTCATTTCTGACCATAAATACATCACAGGACCAGACACTTGATGTTAAAGGACTTATACCCTCCATTTTCTTGCTTTATTAAAAAAATATATAACGTACTTATAACGTCATTATGAATGTGTGGAGCTAATCTGCTGTAGGCTGAATAGATGGATATATGTTAATACTGTGACATCACAAAAATGATGAATTCAAAATGAGCTGTCTTTGCATCTTAGTTTCCATATATGGACTAGCTAATTAAAATATTAATACTTTGAAATATTTATATTTACACACTACATCAAGCTCTTATATTCCAGATTAAAGCAAGAAAATTTCCTTTTTGCAGTGATATGAACCCTGTAATGTTCCACAGAATGGAATGCTAAATGTCAAGTGTGATATCAGCCTGTGTGACGGATTTGTTTACTTCATTTTCTTGGACATTTGAGATAGTGTGTTTTACTGGCAGGATTAAAGATCCTTCCTGTTATATCTATTTTCCTGGAAAAATTGGGACACAAGGGCAGAGAGAGCTGTTGTTATGATCCAGTTAAAAGCCTTGTTATCAAGATGGCACAGAAGCTCACGTGTACGGTATGGTTACAGACACCAGCATTTCACCAACATTCCTGTCTTATTACACTTACAGAGCACTGAGTTTAAAAACATGTCAGAGAAGGAAATGATGGAGTTTGAGTACAATAAGTCAGTAAGCATGTAGATACCTGGCCGCATACACAAAGGATGCGTTTCACCAAAGACGGCCATTATCACTTGAATCAAGCTGTGGAGGTCACACTGAGTCTATAGAATCAGATAAACACAGAAAACAAAACAGATTCTTGTAAGAATGTGATAAACTGGCCACTCAGACAACAAGTGTTTGGAGTCTGTTGTTCCTGTCATATAAATTATAACTGTTCTATATTATAACTAGGTCATAGCTCCTTTAACCAATATCTATAATTATTATAAGCATATTATAACGGTGAAGGAAAACAACTTTAGTTTGTTTTTTCCCCCTTTTTAAACTGTGCAAAAGACAGAGACTCACAATGATGGGAGGTCTCTGCGGTTTGTCCAGTACGGTACAACTTTAACAAACTAGAACCAAGGCCTAGTTCCATTAAACCATATGTATAATTATTATAACAGCATTACAACATTGGAGGAAAAAAATGTTTTCCTATTTTGTAAACTACAACTTTAATTAACTACAACTAGCGCCTAGTTCTATTAATCCATATGTATAGTTATTATAACCATATTATAACTAGATCCTTGTTTGATTAAACATGGATTTCAGACTTACATGTCTCCACTCATCCAGATAGGGTAGTAGAATCTGCCCATTGCTGTTCACATGACTACTTGGAATGATCATCATCTCTTTGGTGGGTTTCACATAGCAGACTGGAGCGGTGCGGGGATAGCTTTCCTCCAGCCACAGACATAGAGGGATGTTATAAATGTTCCCTGTTACACAGAATATTGTGTTCCATAATATATCACGGTGCATGGCTCAAGCTTGAACCTTTACTGTATACTTTTTATTAAACATTAACATTTTTATTATGGCATGTCAGACAGGACTCTAATTGTCATTTACCTTAATAGTTGTGAAAAGTAAAGGGTCAGGTCACTTACCTTGGTATAACACCGCCACTGTTCCCACTAGGCTTACCAGCTTCTTCACAGTGCCATCATTGAAAACTGGATCAACATACAGGCATCATTTTTAATGTTATGAATGTTTTAGTGTTGTCTGGTTTAAAGAGCACCAAACATATTATATGAAGTACAGCTGTATCTGTAAATGAACTAAAATAACTCTTATTCAGGATTGTATTTGCGAGCCACTCACCAAATCTGTCCAAGACCGGTTCCAGGTGCTTGTACTGGGACATGACAGTCACAATCTCTGCCAACACCTCTTTTCTGTGCTCATACGTCTGTGAAGGTACAAGTTTATGACAAGATCTCAGTATAGTAGCCTGATACACCTTAGCACACTGACCCGACTGGGTCGATATCAGCAGAAAATGCTGACTTGATGGAGAAAGTCTGACCCGATCTAATTCTGTAACAAATCTCTTTGACTTGTTACATGACTTGTTAATTACGTGACTGCGTAGGTGAACAAAGCTGCGCCAAAACATCTGTCAGCGTGCAGCAGGTCATAGTGAAGCAGATAGTCTAAGAACTACTACTTTTGATCTGCATCAACATTATGCGATTACTATCTGTCTACAACACAAAGCACCCCCAGATTTGTTAGACCAAATTTTCACTCCTGCCTTTTGGTATCAGAAAAGAAAAAGTGGTATTGTGCCATGCCTACAACATATACATTGGGCTGCTTTTAGGCCTAGATGCTCGTGTCTTGTATGTATCTTTCTTTGAATCTGTTACTGTTTTAAACTGCGAGGGGCCTGTGTGTGAGCCCACACTCAAATTCAGTAATTACTGAATCATTCATAGATCTGAATTAAAAGTCTTAAGATTAATATCTGAATAGTAAGCCTGCAGTTTGAGGGTTATAGAAAAGGACGTGGAGCTCTTACCTTGGGTAACATTTTCTTCACCGATCCTACAGTCGTTATTGTCATGATTCTACCGACTTAAAACCAAAACAGATGCAACAAAAGATATTCTCTTGAATTCGGATGCAGAAGAAGTGCTGTGTGTTTTTCTCTTCGCTCTAAGCAGTTACTAAATCACCAGCTTTGGGTCCTCCTTCAGGTTTATTGCACGCCAATGGCCTTGTCTGAGAGCAACAGCCAATAGCATTAGAGCAATGAAGTTCAGGACAATGAAGATAAGCTTGAACCTGCTGTTACATTATCGCAAAACATTTCAGGTGAACATAAACCGGTGTAATCATCAACAACAACAACTGAACAAACAATTCTGTATGAATTACATTAGTAACAAATAGACAGAAGACTTTAGGATAAATTAAGAGAAATTTAGATTAATGATTAATACACAGACAGACTTTTACCTGCATGCACACACATAAATGGCATATCTGTCTTGTGTTGTGGGTTATTCTATCACAAATTCTGATTAAACTGTTGTACACCTCTTCCTGGTCGGCCTACATAAAAATTATATTACACCTGCTGCCTATCACGTTATCAAGAATGACAAATTCCAAACGCGTTTCCGGACTCTTCCTGCACTCTTCCTTATGATTACTGACCAGTGATTAAAAATAACAAAACATGTTTTTCCAAAAGTTTGTTATCCATGCTGCAGTACTATCTTTGTCTGGTTTTATCTTCACTGGTAATACATAGAAAATATTACAAAAGCTATGAGTAAATGAAATGAGAACCTTCAAAACAAAGGACAATTTGGAAACCTGTAAAATGTGCAGAGTTGAGGCCCAATTGTAGCCGAAACGAGAACAGTAGATGGCGCTGCATATCTCATAGACCCTTCCTACACAATGCAATGACACTTACTGTAAGCCTGTTAATTTTTTATCATCATTTGTACAGAAGAAGTCACTACAGCTTGACTAGAGTATTTATTTCCATTGTTTCACTTAAAAAATGCATATGTAACATGAAGAACCAAACTGTGTCATGCATGGATGCCAGAAATGGAAGCTACATTAGTATGCAAAAAGTTTGAAAACCGCTGGTCAAATTATGTTTTGTTAATTTTCTATGTGAAAATAAGTCCTCTACAGAGAACACACTTAAATATGGCATTTCTGGCAAATTTTAGTGCACAATTTCTGTTTACTTGCTGTGTATAACATATTGGGGAAAAAATAAAATATGCAAAAGTGTGTTTTCTGTAGAGGTTGTGTTAACTTATTTTCACTTAGAAAACTAAACATGTAATTTGACTGGGGACACACAAACTTTTGCACACACTGTACAATAGGTAGGTAAACAGACGTCTTCATAGAGTTTCTGAAAAAATGATAGATTTGATATTAGCTCTAATTGAATTGATGGCTCCAGGACAGATGTTTACACTCCTAACACTTCAAACAGTTTGATATAGTATTCTGTCTGAAGCCACCAGTCCATCAAATAAACATTTACATCAATCACTTTTGATACAAATTTGGAATAACAAGGTTCTGCAGTTGTCAGTACATTAGATCAACTCTCTGTGAGAGATCTTAAGTCAAACATGTAGGACTTCAAAACAAATTTTATTGGAATCCAATAATCAGAACAACCAGAATACCAGTCGGTCTGTTCAGCACTTCCATAATCAGTTTCTCTTATAAAATATGTACACATAAACAGCCACACATACAGTAATTAGTGCTGCAGCAGAGCACAGTCCCCATGGTTATCGCCACAAACTCCCAATTCACAAAAGTTACATGTTAAAACAAAGACATGTTAAGCAAAACAAATATGGCTAACTGTCAAGAGAACAGTGACTCCTGTGTGGGATGTCTTTCCTTTCTCTCTGCAGTCAGCAGCGAGCACTCTCATCTGTAGACCTGTATGCTTTCCTCAGACAGGAACAGAGGGGTGCAGGGTGCCTGGGATGAGGTCACTAGTGTCCAGTCTTTAGAATCTGAGCTTTGTTTTGTGATAACGGTCACGAAAGGCCTGATGTCCACGTAAAAGCCAGTGTTGAGACTTATGAGAATAATAAATTAGATGAAATCCACAGAGCTGCCCAGTATTAGCACACTGGAGTTAAAGAATATGAAAACCAATACAAGTCATTAGTGGTGTTTTGTCAGGCAGATGTGGACAGCCAGAGGGGGTCACCGTAGTCACAGCAAGGCAGCTTCCTCCACCAAAATTTTCATTTTGCAGTCAGTGTAGCGCCTTTGTTTGCCTTTTGTTTTGCTCTCGAGCTGTGATTTGCGTCTTTATTCCTCCTTCTGTGGTCCACTCTGCCTTGTGGATCCATAGGTCCACGTCTCAACTTTGAAAGGTCGCCTGAAAAGGAAAAGGGATGGAAAATGCCAGTCTTTAATGCAGAGACAACAACATAGTTAGGATGGGCGCTATGATAATATGTTATTGTTATTGCAATAAATTCTACCACAACAAGCTTTTCTAAGTATTTCATGGTTATCATCAATATTTAAAGAACACAGACTGAAAACACATATTTTAGTAAAAAGAGATTTCCATTAGAGCCCCAAGTGATGTAGCTAACTAAGGTACAGTACCATTCAAAAGTTTTAGGCACCTAAGAAAATTCTATCTAAAAATCCATTCAGCATTTATTTGCTTCCTTGAGGAAGCCGAAGATTATCTGCTCATTAAATTATATCAGGTGTGCTGGTGATTAATTTGAACAAAACTAGATAATGGTTAAGAGTATCATGATGAAGTCCCGAACAACATCTCGGCTACTTCGGTAAAGACACAATTTTTTATTTTTTTTTTAATCTGTATCCATGTTTAGATTTATTTATTTTAATGTTATATAGATTGTTTACTAGCAAAGGCACCCTTACTGCTGAGATAAATGGTTTCAAACAATTCAAAGAGTGCTTTGTAGTACCTGAAACATTACATACATTTATATGTACATTATGTACTGTGAACTGTCTTGAAGTACTGTAATCTGTTGCCATACTGCCCATTCCTTTATTTTCAGGTTCAGGTCCAATTAAACCTAAAATTAGAGTTTAACGTTACTTTGTGCAATGCAGCACTCTGTATTGCCGCTTTGTATCCCTCAGCCTTATCAGTTTGACAGGATTCATAATTGTAAATCTTGTTTTTATTCATCAATATTCTCTCCAGCATGCAATACACAAATGCTGTTCTACAGGCTAATAAATACAACCAAATTCGCATTAGTGTAACTTTTACCTTAGTCGTCGATTCTATTGCTATTTAGCCGAGAATGGACACCAGAAACAAGTTTTAACTTTTTAGTCAGAGAAAAGACACCGAACTGAGGTAAGGCTTGCTGATTATTTCAGAAAATATCACTCCAAAGACTACTGACGCACCGCTGTAGGCATGTTTAAAACAGATAAAGTCATAGTTTCAGTTTTCATTTGGCCAGGCTGTCTTTTTAAAATTTTCAGTGAATCATCTTAATGGTTATGGGACCAAAATGTCTTTTTATGCCTCCTTCTGCTTGTCTATTTAGGACGAACATTACAGTATTACAGTAATTATGGGCATCTGTACTTGGGTCTTTTTGATGAGGCTCCGAGGAGTAATGCACCTATGTGAGATAGGTTTGTTCATACAGCAACATAAGACGCTGAAAAGACTGATTAAGGACCAGATCCTCCGGCATTTCGATAACTGCATCTGTTACAGCATAAAAGAGAAAAAACTGAAGCGAGTTCAGTCCTCTGGTGCGTGTGACAGAGGCGACCCCAGATATCACAGCTTCCTGTGATTTGTATCTTACACTTGTGTTGTTTCGCACTTCCTTCATTTACAGTAAGAGAGGCAGTAAATAACATTTCCTATTCACACAATGAAACTGCAGGGTACATTCAGACTACAGAGTTCCAGAAATGTCTACATACAAGAATAGGACAGCTTCATGGTAGTAAAGATTACTCTTATCTAATCAGTTTTAACCATAAGCTTTTTCAACCACCAGCTTGAATACACAAAGTTTGACCTGTAGATGGTAGCATGAGGTAGGGGGCCGCAGGGCAACCTAACGCAAGGCAAAATAGAACAGATTTTTTCATACAGCTAAACAGGTTCATGCAGAATGTGCTTTTTTGTTACCTTCTAGTGTTCCTACAGCTTCATTACTTACAAATGTTCACAGCAGACAGATAATTTTTTCCAAATTTGCCATGAAGACCTTTTTTGTACCATGAAAGTACTTTTCTTCAGTTACTTATTCAGTTATGTGTATAAGTCACAGAACTCACACCTATATTACTTTAATCAGTCTCTTGGTGGTTGTAATATAGCACTGTTTTGTAGCATATAAACAACTCCCAGTGACAGTTAACCAGGGGTTAGTTTTAGCACAGCGTTACAACAAAGCCCCACTAGGAGCGATAAAATAAAATGTGCTATAGATGTCATGTTAATAAAATACATTTTTATTTTATTGTACTGATATTTGCTATTCTGCTGTGTAATTGAAGGGAAATCCACCAGTGTTGGCCACAATATCTTTTCACTAATCACTGCATTTATTTTGTTGCATAGATTTGATTTATTTAGGTTGGAAAGCTTGTCTGGTTCAAAAAACATGGACATGTGCTGAATTAATTGTGTTTGCATACGTTTACCAGACTTTTCTAGCGAGTGTTACAACTAGCCCCTCAGTTCATTGCAATTAACTGTTCCACTAGGGTGAGTTATGACATTTGAACTCACAACACTTTCAGCTGAATTGTTCACAAACTAATCAAGATCTTAGAAACCTACTTTCCTGCAGAGTTTAGTTCCAACCTACATCTAAAATCCTCCCCCCAAAATACCTAACACTAATACATCTGATCCAGCCAATCAGGGACTTCTGAAAAGGTTAATCAGCTGGAGCAGGTGTGCTGTGGTTGGAACTAGACTCCGCAGGAAGGTAGATCAGGACCAGGGATGGTGATCAATGATCTAGCATTTCAATTCTGTCTGCCGTATCTGTATCTGTATCGTATATCGTCGCTGTCCAATGTCCAATCTCCGAAATAGTAACTTTACATGAGAAGGCAAAAACACTCTTACGTTCCAATGTAAGTCAATGTAAAAAGATTTTATTCTAAGTGGTTTTAGAGCATTTCTATTGGTATACCTAATAACGAAATCCATGAAAGGACAACTGGTGTGTTGAAATGATGTAGAAAACTGAAAATTTAAAAAATGGAAATACATAGTTTTCTATGGACAGTGACGATATGACATCTGCCATGATATGTTTATGGTGTGGCTGTGTCAATGTTATGTAGCAAGCCTCAAGTAAAGTGTTAATGTATGTTTCATGTCAATGGATTTTAATTTTTTTGCCCTAAATACAGGGTCTAAGTGACAGTAAGTGTCTAAATTATTGCCTGTGGTAACTGACTATTTGCTATAGATGAGGCAGACAGAGATTAGGTTAAAAAATGCTGGACTATTTCCTCTAAGGTAATAGCTTGACTGTTTGGATCTGTGTATATATGTGTGTATGCATGTTTTAAACTGTGTTATGCACCTTAAATCACGATACCACACAGCGACAGCTCATACAGTCCTGTCCGCTTTCATCTGGAGGATTGAGTTTCCTTAGCTTGTGCTGTCGGATCTCTCGTACTAGTGTGTAGAAGGCATCCTCCACGCCCTGTGAAGCACAGCATGCACACATTAACTTCCATATCAGGCCAGAGTACAGTCATCCACACATTAACCTCCACCAGCCAGCAAATCATCAGCAGAGTCACTGAGCATAGACTCAGACACTGCAGACATGACTGTAATAGTGCTACAAGTCCATTAGATCTGATAGCAATCTGCCAGAGTGAGTCTGCTCTCTTTCACAGACTGAAATTACAGCCTGTGTGATTCCAAACATCAGCAAGTTGGGAAATGTTTAATGGAGCCAGAACATTGCAAATTTACATTTTAAACTGAAGTTACAATTCAATCATGTACGCATGGACAACCTCACAAACATGCAGCACTATAGAGCGGTCAGTCTGTGAAGATTTAACAGACAGAGGGTACATGAAAAAAAAATTTAGGACTCGCCTGAAGTTTTGGATTCTCCTTAATGAGGTACACTGTTGTTTTCATAACTTTCACTGCCAGCCTGGACCTGCCTTCCTTTCCTTTTTAATCTCTTACCCTCTCTCTATCACACATAGAGATCTACATATTACACAGGTCCCTTACATTCTCTCAAAGGAGTGTTTCTGGCATAGCTTTGCCACTCTGTCTAACAGATTTCCTCTTTGACTTCTAAGAGCTTCTACATATTACATACAGTATTGCGCAAAAGTTAGAGGCCACCCTACTTTTATTTATTTAATCTCCAGTTAAGTCATTTTTCAGCAACAGGAAAAAAACAGAAAACATATATTTAACAGAAAATTCAGACACCTCAAAACTTAGTTGGGTGTGTTTTTACTTCTCACACTCCAAGTAATCCCAAATACATTCAATGATGTTGAGGGGTGGACAGCTCATTGTTCTGAGAACACCAGCAGCTTTTTTGGTAAGTATGCCTTAATCTTCTCAGCAGCATGCTTAGAGCTGTTATCTTGCTGGAGAATGGATTTCTTCCCCGTGCAATGTTTTCCAAAGGTTTTTTGCTTATGTATTAAAATTTGTTTACACTTAGCAGCATTTATGATGGCTTCAATCATAAACAAATCACCAACTCCAGATGTAGTTATACATCCTCAAACTTGCACTGAGCCTCCACCCACCTTGTCAGATAGTTGTAGTTATGGTTCAAAGAGTCTTTAACTGCTTCAGCAGCATACATGCTGCTTTCTGTTAGATCTCAAATTTAGACTCACCTGTCCTTACAATGAACGACAAGTGTCTCTTTGAATGTCAGTAACACCTTCGGGAACAGCTTTTGCTGGAGGGACAAAGCTGTAACTGGTCAGCTTCAGGTTTGGAAGGATGGAAGAATCAAAGCGGCAGTATGGGGTATACAAATTAAAGAGTGGACAAATTAAATACTGATAGATATGATAATACACTTAGCGTTTTGCGTAATTTTCTGTTAAATATACAGTACTGTGCAAAAGCTTTAGACACCTAAACGCACAATGAATTTTTGCTTGTAAAAATGCTATATATAGTAAAAAAATGTAAAGTAAAACATAAAGTAATCTGAAAATATATCTTTGAAAAAAAGTAGAAAATATATCTTGTGAGCTAGATTGAAGAACAAAGTTTGGTTCCATATTTCTCCTGGATGCCCATCACAGCTATCACATGGATTTATTAAATTCCATCTTCAACACTAATGATTTAACTGAATGATGCACTGATTATCCAAAATACATCCTGGATGATAACTACATTTAATAATGGTCATCCTCAGTTAGAGGTTTGGAAAAGGTTGAATGAACATACTGACATACATAAAATCACTACTTTTTGTATTAATGTTATTTATAATTATTTCAATATTAGTGTTTTTGAGCAAATAAACGTACTGCCCAGAAACAGCTTTTTACATCTTTTCTCAGGTGCCTAAAACATTTGCACAGTACTGTACATTTCCCACTTTTTTCTGAATAACTTAACGTACTGAATGGCTGTACTTATTAACGTACTTAATGGCCGTTTTAACTGGATATAAAGAAACTAAAGGGTGGACTTTTGCAGCGTGCTATATATTTTAAATACATGCTGTATATTATCAGCTGGTTTTGTCTCATCTTCAGAATCATTTTGCTGATGAAGGACTTTTGTCCAAAAACGTCCTGTTTCTCTGAGAACTTTGTATACACACGTACACATACTCATATAAATCAGTAAAAGGATGCAGGCATTTTTGACAAATTGGGTCAGTTGAACTCTAGCCTGTTTCTAGGCATCTGGAGTGGATGATGAAAACAGTGATGTTCTCCCTCTGCAATCTTCAGACTACCAATGAGTCATCATCACCTGCAGTGTTATACAATGCACTCATCTCGCATCTCTCCATGCGAGTAAGTGAACCTGTGTGTATGTCCGTGCATAAAAGTGACAGGACAATGTCATTTCACAGTCCTTCTAGTGTGCAAATAAAAACCAGTAGTGTGTCTTTGCTGCTCACTTGTCTGGTCTTGGCTGAAGTCTCGATGTATGGGATGCCGTAGCTGCGTGCTAGCTCCTGCGCTTGCCGCGTGTCCACTGTGCGAGCTGGGAGATCACATTTATTACCCACAAGCACCATTGGCACATCGTCCGAGTCCTTTACCCGTTTGATCTGTTCCCTGTGAGAGGGGGGTACAAAGTGGGGGGATTCATTGGTGAAACACACAAAGGAAAGAGAAAATTAATATTATGCTGCTATTGTGCTGATAATGTTTTGCAAATTTATGGCAAACTGATGTGCAGGTGCTTACAAGCTCAGGAACTCATGTCCTTCCCTAGAAGCTTTTAGTTAGCCATAAGGCTAGTGGTGAATACAGTCACCTTGCTGTGTGCTCTTCCGGACTCTGCCAGTTGTTTCTGTACTGGCTGCTAGCCGATTGAGGGGCATATGAGTAAGACGATGCCACTGTAGCGTCTGCATGTGTGGTTGCATGTGTGTGTGACTGACAGGAAACGTAACAGAGTATATGAACTCCTGTAATCCACTGGCAGTGTTTATAGTTTTAACCTTTAGAAGAGTTATTAATATTTTGCTATACATTCAATTTTAATTAAATTTATAACTCATTTAAAAGGTCCACATCATATTTTGTATTGTATTTTATTTTTTCCTCTGAGGTCCAATTATAACTTTGGTGAGGTTGTACAAAAACAGTCAGAATTCTTTTTTTACATGACAGCCTCTCTTTATCCCTTTTTTCAACCTCTCTTTATTCCTTAGAATTAAGCAGGTTGTTTTTGTCTTATTGTCTTTAAGACTGACATTTGTAAATGACCTCACTTTTAAATGGTTGCTCTGTATTGTGCCTCATTCAAAAAGCAGTTTGGGCTGAAACACTCCTAATAACTCAAGCACGAATGAGTGGATCTAACCTGCTGTCAGCCAAATGGGTGGATATATGTAGTTGGTTTTTTGTGACATCACAGGAACAATTAATTGAAAATGGCACGATTTTGCAGCTTGGGTTCCTAAATGGGCCACATAGACTTGAGAATGAGAGATATATTTTAAAACTTTATCCATCTTTCTTTTTATTTAAAAACGTGAGGAAAATTTAGTTTTTCATGATAAGGGCCCTTTAATTACGTGATACTTTTTACATTTAATTTACATTCTGTATTGATGAGTTTAAGTCTGCAACATTTATGCATTTGTTTCATTTCAATGTTAATAATTGACAAAAAACATAGCAAAGAACACATTTTTCCTAGGCCTGTTACAATCAATAAATTTTAGCTCACAACTGCCATTTAAATAATTGTGTGCAAATTATTAATATACATGCCTAAAGTGGCTACATCTGCCAACAGAATCAGCTCCAGCTCAAATAAACAAACATTACTTATGGAGGCCTCATACATGTTATAGGACCAGTAAAAAGTTAGAACTTAGAAGTTAGAAGGTTACTGTCTAAATGTGTCTTCTACTTTTTGTATGTTTCTGTTTGTTGTGATGTAAACACTGAAGTTTTGAAAGCTATACCCTAACAATGGAAAATAACTGTGACCAGCTCAAATAAATGATTGCATAATATCTGTAACAGGCCTATTTTTACTTTTCACAGTATAAAATGCACAAAATAAAAAAAAAGAAAAATCATCAAATTCAAAACATAATACAATATCTCCTTTTCCTCTTACAAACACAAATGTGGTACTGATTGAAAGCGTAGAATTGGCACAGTTGACAGAACTTCTCTTGTTTCATGTTCCAAAATTCCTGTTTCTTGTTTCAATGAGCTACAAGTGAAAGCAATTAATATGAAATTACAACTGCAACTTCTAAGGGTGGAGTCTTACTAGCATAGTCCACCAAAACAAGACCACTATCAACAGTGCACTGTCCATAAATAACAAACAGTGTATAATCCATTTATTCTCCTTTTCCAGTTCTCCTTTTATGTCCTTGAGTGCTTGCTATCTCCCTTCCATCCTCCCGCCTGCTCTCTAATTGGGTTTGTATTGATTTCATTGGCAGCTTACTGTAATCTTCCACTCTGAGGCTATATTTCCTTTAGCCACAATAGATGCTAGAGACATTGGTCAAAACTGTGGTTTGACAATGGAAGAGGACAATAGAGGCCGTATTTTGTCTTCTTGTCTGTATTTTTGCTTGGCAGTCAGGGTCTTCAGTTTGTAAATATTACTGAAAGACATCTTAGATTGCTTTTTCAATCAAACATTTGCAGGTTTGAAGCACTGTCCATTATCCACAAGCGCTGCTCTCCATCATCTCTTTTGGATTAAAGCAATAGTTGATCAGCCAAGACATGTTTGGTGTCTGAAGTTTGCTTCTTTAGTTTTGCACTGGAGCTATGAGGCTAATGTAGCTAATTAGCACTGTGCAAACTGCATACCTAAGTGATCACACATTTGCCTCAAACCATGTTGAGTTGTTAGTTAATCTCAGATAGACTGGCTTATTTGTTTCCTGAGACTGTATGACAAACTGTTATCTATAAAAACAGACAAGTCTGAATTCTGACTGTACTTTTGTCCAGAGTTATAAAGAATAGTATATCATACAATGTCAGAAACCAGATAAGTAACTTTGTCTGAACTAGTGCTTTAATAAAAGTGTGAAGTGAACTACTTGCTCAATTGAGGATGTAATTCATACATGACAAACAGACCTGTACTGGTGAATGTCCTCAAAAGACTTGGTGTTATTGATGGCAAAGACACAGAGGAAACCCTCTCCTGTCCTCATGTACTGGTCCCTCATAGCGCTGTACTCCTCCTGACCTGCTGTGTCCAGGATGTCCAGCAGGCACGTCTCTCCATCAATCACCACCTGCTTCCTGTACGAGTCCTGAAAAAAGAAAAAACATGTAGATATGTCCTAAAGCCAGAGCAATCAACATCACGACAGTCCATCACTGAGACTCAGTATTCCATGCTATGATGTTTAAGCTAAAAGATTTGACAAACTTTACACTACACAGCTCTGATACACACCATTAACCAGTCAAATCCATTCACATCAATACTAACTGCATTATTATAATGTGTCCTCATGGCTACTAGCCATTATACAAGGGCTAATTTATGATTAATGGAGAAATTTAGGCCAAATCATTTACAAAAGTAAAGGGGAAAAGAAAGAGCAAATGAAGTATAATCACTATAGTGGTGTTTCATTTGACAGCAGGGCTCAGTGCACACAAACATGCAGCCCAGTGGTCTTGAATGTTAGTGCAGTGAGGGCAGCTATGAAAAGGACATTGTTTGTCCAGAGGCAGGCGTGGTGGGAAAGAAGAAAAGAGAGGGCAGCAGGACATGGACTCGCAGACATGTGGACATGCACACACACAAACCAACCCCACCCTGTGTCTCTGAGAGCAATCACTGACCCCAGATATATGGACACCCTGGTTTCAAATGACAGTAATAAGTGTGTGAGAGAGAGATAGCTGATAGCTGATAGCTGTATGTGATTGCTGGGAGAATCCAGAATGTTCTCTCCTCATTTACTCTGGTTCATTTTGTTTGTCAGTTCTTCCTCCGGACATTCGAAGGACAACTGCGAGCATTAGGATGTTGGTGTTTTCTGTAGAATGTTTGTTTACTATCCTACTGTGAGTAATTCCTAAAGAGGTTTGTAAAACATTTCCATTTAATTTTTTTACAAAATTTTAAGGATTTTAAAGTTTCAGCAGATGACCACACTGGCTGTTTGGTCACTAGACTTGTATTAACAAACCCCGGTTTCCACTGTTTTTTAGAAAACTGTTTTCCTGGACTTTTCCAGGACAAATTCCATGACTTATATACACAACAGTTGTTGTTGTGGTTAATGGAAAACGACACTTAACTGCAGACATTCTTAACTACAGACAACCCCTAACTGAGTGATTTACTGAGCACACTCACACAAACTATTCATCAACCAATCATCATTCATCAAACGATCAAAAAGCCCAAAAACAAGGTCCCGCTCATGTTTTAGGCCTTAAATGCAAAATCAACATTACACTGATGAAGATTTCATGACAATAGTAGATCATTCACTTATAACCTCAGAGGACACTTTGTTCACCAAGTTTTGACTGAGTTCTTTTTGAATAATCTTAAAACGCCCTCACATTCATCAGTTACATCTTCTTGGGGAAGGGGACTGAAGAATAATGAAATATTTCTCACACTGTGTGCAATTACACATTTCCACCAAAGATGTCTCCGAATCCTTAAATCTCACATAGTATGGCTTTAATGGTTTATCTTTACACGTTTGTTTGACTTCACTAATATTCACTAATAGTTCCCAGTGATTTTATAAATTTTATTATTTAGTCTGCAATAAAAATCTATAAATGTAAAGCTTGTCCATGGCTTCCAGCATGTGTGGGAACACTGCCTAGCCGGAATAACAGACTGGGCACATCACAGCATAGGTACTTTGGCCACTTTTGGCCAATCACTGGGGCCAATAATGTGTCATTATTTTTATTGACTGATGTGCTAAATAACAGATTCTGTTCTTTATTCTGTTCTCATTATTCTTGCAATTCTTGCCACAGTTATCACCTAAATTAATTTTAACAGTAAAATAGTAATAGTAAAACTAAGCTTGATTACAACAAATGTGTATAATGTATTTATACACATTTGTTGTAATTGAGCTTCAGATACTGAACTGAACTGCAACTGAGAATGTGCATACACCAGTTTACAATCACATTGAACAAATCCTAACTTTAACTGACATGCACAATACACAATACTTTATCTATATGGTATACACTCACTCAACCACACACCCACACTTTACCTCTATGGTAGGGTCATATTCATCCACGAAGTGGTTCTGGATCAGTTGGATGGTGAGAGCACTCTTGCCCACGCCTCCAGCACCCACCACCACCAGCTTATACTCAGTCATCCTTTCTGCTCCTCTTCAGCTGCTCAGCCCTGTGGGATTCCACAGTGAGATACAGATTTAAAGCAACAGATTTACAGAGAAAGAAGTGGAAGAAACATAGACAAGCCAATATCACTATAGTTAAATTCATGTTCAGCACATGATTACATAAATACACTGAGACATGGCATCTGGTATGCTGTGTATCTCTGCTATACAAATCAAACCTTCTCATATGAAGGAATACTCAGCTGCCTTTGAGGGTCAAAAGCCCAGCCTGGTTTATACCAACCAGATGCACCTTTCATTGCCTCTGCTGATCTTATGCTCGTATGTTAAGGAGTAGACCATTAAAGCAGTCAGCCAGGAACATAAATCAGAGGTCTTTTATTATGAGATCCACCCGAACAACTCCCTGAGTCAGGTTTTATTAATGCATACACGTCCAGCTATACAAGTCCTAAGCACAAAGGCTAATTTAATACACAGTTACATATAATCTACAGTTGGTCAAGCAGGCATTTTGGTGAAAATGAACCTGTCTTAAAGATCTTTCATCTATTATCAGCATAAACCAGGATTATTGTTGTACTTTAGCTGTAAAATGTCCTACAGTTGTCAAGGTGACATTCTATATTGCACCAAGCTATATAGCCATAACAATGAAAATAAAAGTATAAAAACTCCATGTAATTAAAAAATAATAATAAAATGTTGCCGTAAGATGCTCATTCAGAGTATAACTACACAAAGATTCACTGCTTCATACCACTCAGAACAAGTTTTGTGGCTTTTTTTCCATTTCATACTATATTTAACACTGAATGGGTTAATATCTTGCTCACAAGGTTAAACCAAATTTTGCCAAAAACACTGACATTTCCTGATAATCTTCAACTCACAAACTGGCTTAGGTAGGTGTTATAATGTCAGTCTGATATCAACACCTACTGCAGATATCACTGGATGGCATAGTGTAGTAACACCTTTGCCCTCCACAAACCCTAGAGGTAGGCTGGGGTTCGATCCCCTGCCTGGGCATGCACCCTATCCTATACCAATAAGACTCCTAACACTTCCTTCGCCTACCTCTGTAAAATGATCAAATTATAAGTTGCTCTCGGTATGAGCGTCTGCCATTTAAATGAAGTAAATGTAATATCATCTAATACATCATCCAGGAAAGTTCCACAGAAAATGTGAGCAACCAAGCACTGGAAAAAACTGAAGCATTGTGAACAGCATGACATTTCACTGAAAGATTTCGGACAAATTAAGCCGAAATTACAGGCCAAACTTTGCTTTGAGGAATTTGCATGACAACTTAAGTCAAGAAAGAAAGGCAGCGTAACTTCAGCACCTGTATTCACTAATTTTGACATTGAATCCAATGATGTCATTTTGGGACATGTCAGCTGATATAATGTGACACAGACATAAATCAAGCATGGTAATGTGGACAATTAAAGAATGAACTGAGCACATCGGTTCTGCAGGAACATGATTCAAACTCAATCATGGTTAAAGAAACAGCAAAACAAACAATTCACCCGCAACTAGCTGAAATTACATGTATCTTATTAGTGTTTCATAAACTGTGAAAAACTGAAACAGAAAAACAGCCCTCACTTAAATAAGTGCACTGTAGTAAGGCGACATCCTGCGCAGCAAAATCAGCAGACCTTGAACACGGTCTATCTTGGGTGTGTTGTCATATAATTAGAAGTATATTTGCCATTGTTAGCCCTGTAAGAAGGTTCAAGTGCTGTGTCTGAGATGACAACAACTCATACATGCAGAAAAACTTCCTGACAGAATGAAGAATAACTGTAACAAGCACTGGCAGCCAAAGTACCTTGGTTACCAAACTTCAGGGAATAATGCTCAGAGATAAGGGAATCGGGGATTTACAAAACTGCAACAGCATCATGGCTCTCAGTCAGTACCAGACACGAATCTAGCTGTTCACTGCCCAACACATTAGGGAGATATCTAAAAATAATAATAATGATGATAATAAGGATAACTTCTTATTAATTTTTGATTACTTTAAGTACATTTTCATTGCTGTACAACACATCTAAACCATGCTAAATACATTATTTCCAATTATTTAGCAGGCTGTTTAAATTAAATAGACCTAAACAGTATCAATACTTTTTTCTAATACAGGTGATCATTGCCTGTTATGGGGTCGGATACTTGCCAATCATCACAGATACCCCACTAAAGGGCACCTCACCAATACACTAAGACACATATGTGCGCACACAAACGATTATGAAAACAATAGGCTTGACTCACCAACTGTTCTTAATAAGAAATTTCTTCTTCTTAAAACACACTTATGCAGATTTAATGAAGATTCTGACTTTCACCTATGTTTTCTTATTTTGGATTTATTCTTAGGTAAGAACAGTATCTATGCACACTCATGAGCACAAAGGTGTGAACAATTCTGCAGTTTAAGAACACGTCATGAGTCTGACAGACTTTTTCTTAGGACCATTCTCAAGAACAAATTTGAGAAAAAACTTAGGAAGATATTGATGAATAAGGCTCAATGACATAAATATCATGGTGTAGTTTGTCATACTGAGAACTCATAAGAGAGTGGTCACAGTAGTGGTATTATAACACATAATATTGGAAGGCATAAAGGTAGAGTTTCCTACTAAAATAAAGATTTTCCTACTCCTTCCACAACAGCCTAAAGCTACATGGAAGAAACTCTATGTGATGAAAACACACTTTTGCATTGAACTTTCAGGATGAGAACCACACTCTGCTATGGCTGATGATCTAGTAAAAGCACTACTGTGTCTGTTAGTCTGTAACCCCATGAACTAAACAAGGTACAGCTGGGATTCACTAAACTTGCTTCTACAATATTGGCCTATAAAGCATTGCCAGCAAAGTGAGTAGAGAGCAGAACACCGGAAGAGGAAGAGAAGAGCTGATGACAGAAAGCTCTCAGGTCTGTTTATGTCTTGGTACTCCACATTTAACAATATGTCCAATGTTCTGGGTTCAAATAATGCATAAATGAAAAGCCATGGCCCTTTGGCCCTCTCTCTGCCCCACTTTCCTTATCCTGGACCATGGCAGCCCCTCCTCAGGCCTGACCATAAGACTAACACATGAAACAGATCTACACACATCAAGAACAGGTAAGGCACGATACAGGAACAAGGAAGAACTGCATCAACAGATTAGAGACACAGGTAGACACACAGCAGGATGAAAGCTTGTCAACAGGCAAATACACACTCTGAAAACCCCCAATGTTCCACAATGTTTTCTCCTTTGAAGGGGAACTCCATGACTTTTTTAAACATTATTTTCACTGTTCTTCATGCTAATGCTGACATGTGAATAAACATCCCTTTACTCAAGTAGTGGAGATAACGCCAGTTCATCCGGTATACCAGTAAAATTCTTCCTTAGGAATGAGTTTTGCCATTAACTGTTATATTGGTGTGCCACAAATAAGTGCAGATGGTGCAACGTACAAGCAACGCAAACCAGACTAAAGTGACCCCCTTTAGCTGAATGGCTGAGCCAAGGATGTTTCACCCATGTTTAAAATGAAAATGAAAACGCAGCTGTCCCTCAATCGTCTCCTACTGTCTAGTCTGCTTCATCTGAAGTTGTCCACTTTGTTTTTCAGGCACTGAACAAAAATGGCTGGTCATTTGGAGTTAGCCTTAGCCCAACATGACACTAGAGTAACTGCTGTACTTCTGATTCCTCTCATACCACTCGAGGAAACACCTAACTCGGTCAGCTGCATCAGGCAATGCCATGGTCTCGGGGCATGAAACAAGCCGTGGACCAGCTGGTACTGATAGTGTGGAAGACTGGAATATTTTCCAAATTACAAATTCTGACAGCCAAAAGCACAAGTGTATGAGACAAACAATCTGAGAAAGTTGACACAGCTTGCAGAAATTAAGAGAGGAAACAATATTTATGACCAAATTTTTGCCCATTTCACCCACTACTATTCTCAGGCATACAGTTCACTGAATGATTCAAACGCCAAAAATGAAAAAAAAATCTGAGTGTAGGGACTGACTGATTTATCGTTTGGCAAACAAAATATGCCAGTAATATAAAGTGAATTAAATATTATCTATTTGTGAAATTCTGCTGACTTCAATATTTGTAACAGGCTTATTTTAAACTGTAATGAGCACTCTGGCCTAACATGAGGAGAATCACTCATTTGTGAGGATTTAATGGTTATCAGCTCTTTAAAAACAGTATTTGTGACAAATTTCATGTATAGGTTGGGCCCTAGAGTAACACTGATCTGCTTCATTAAGAACGTCTGTTTTCCTCCTCTATACGATTGGACAGACAAATGCTACCCTTTCTATTTGTAGCTTATTTGAATATGGGTTGCAAGTAGCTTACTCTGAAATAAAAACATCAGACTAACCCATGCATCTCAACCAAAGCAGGTCACAGAACAGTCAGTGAGGATTAATAATACAAGCAAACAGATGGAAGTGAATGTGTTCCCTCTCTTAGTTGCCAGCACTTGTTCTTGTTGGGGCGTTTTGTCTGTTGATAGTGGCGCTGAGCGAGGGCTTGTGAGCCCATCGAATGTTCCCTAGTGTCTGTCTCTCTCTCTTATAATTAGTTACTGAGCACAGTCTGCCTTCAGAAAGATAATGAGCCCTCTAAGCACCAGTGATCTGTGTCTGAGACTAGCTGCCTTTTGCTGGGGAAATCAAAACATCAAAAGCTGAAGTTCCATTTTCAATATCAGTGATCGCGACAGTAATTTCGTATTGCCTTTAGTACCGTTTTTACATGGAAGGCAATTGACAGAAACCCTGGAATACTATCTGGGTCAATGTTCTTGAGTCAGAAAAAGCATTTCCATGCAAAGAGATTTTAAAGGAATACTACATCATTTTTTAATCTGGTCTTTGCCACATGTGTAGCATGAGGCTGATTAACATTATGAACAATAATATACCTGTACTTACATAAAACCTAGAAAAAGCACCTGAACACGTCCAATAGAAGTTAAAGCACCTGCCAGCAGGTGTCTATTGTAAGAGGGCTGAGCAATGGCTTTTGTGTTCTTTTATTAGGAGCCAGGAAACATTTTGAAATTACTGTCCACAGTAATCAACCATATGCTAGAGGTGTGGCAGAGAGACATTAGGCTAAAAATGTGGTTCCTTTAAGATACCCCCATCACAGCTTGTCACGATACAGATCTCACATCCAGAAAATCGGCTTGAGTTCCTGGCATTTTTTTGAGTTGCTGTTCTTAAGTGAAAAATGCTTAAAAGCCACAACCTTTGAAACAGATGTCCAAGCTTAAGAGCTACAAAGGATGAGTGTAAGAACAACTAAACCCACCCAATCCTTCAGCTCTGCTACTGCACCATGCCAGGGGCTGCATATAGCCTGTCACAGTGATCTGGGTAAATGAACAGCTCATTTTGAAACTCTATAGCCCCCCTGGACCCTGAGGGTAATCTTACATGACAGCGCACCGAAACTGTAAGTAGAAGAGTCCACAGACAAAACCAACGGCTGCACTTTACATACAACCACAAGGGCAACAAGGCCATTGTATGTATGAGAGACAAAAGACAGGGCGTCTATGACTATGAATGATCAAGTGGCAATAATTTTCCCCTTAAGAGGTGATTTCCTCTTCATATAGAAAGTCCATGAACTATTGTATTTACCCAGTAATACAGTGTAGAGTATGAACCCAGTGTGTAAGTGTATATATATATAAACTGTATTGCCCTATTTTGAAATCTTTTGTTCTTAAAATAAATTAGCATTTTCCTGCACCAAAGCAATCTGTGTAATGCATAATTAGAGCACTGTATTATCAAGACATTTTGAATACATAAAACATTTTGACCTCAGAATCAAAAGGTGGAAATGTGTGCGCCATTACACAACTAACTAATAATAAGCATTAATCTAGTTAACAGTAAATGGAAAATAGAAAACAGCCTTAAAGACTGAGAAATACAACACATTCTATTAGTTAAAGGATCCAATCTAGGCTAAGCTGTTAGCCTCCTACAGCGATAATTGATTTTCAATGGAGTGAAGATGGTAAAAGGAATCTCTCGAGGGAGGAGACGGAATCAAACACTGTGGAGCCATCAGAGAGGCAGGGCCAGACATCATCCCTCAAAATAACACTGACCTCTGAAGTGCGGTACTACAAAACTGTGCCCCACATTGCAGGCTCTACATGACAGGGCATTAGTTTGATTTCAAAAATAAGCTATTATAAAAGACTAACTGATATTACAGAAGCTGGCTCAGCTACTGCACAGACTGGCTTCTATATATAAAAAACGTGCTACTGATGCCAGTGCCATTACATAATGGCTACAAAACTGCTGCACTCCACCAAAACAATACACAGCATGCAGGCCGAGCAAATAGTTGGGAATACAGGGGTTGTGGGATTTGAGCTGATTTTCAGTCTACATTTACATTTGCATTTAGCAGACGCTCTTATCCAGAGAGACTTAAAATTTTATCATTTTACTCTGGTAATAAAAGGCAGTGTTAGGAGTCTTGCCCAAGGACTCTTACTGGTATACTGTAGGGTGCTTGCCCAGGCAGGGGACTGAACCGCAGTCTACAGCATAGAAGGCAGAGGTGTTACCCACTACACTATACCAACCACACTTACAGTTACAACGTAGTTATAAGGCAAATGAATTTACCACCTCTCTTTTTCCTTTATTACCAGACCCTTCTTGATTGTCTCATGTCCATAAGTGTGCCCTGACACTTTGAGGCTGCATTTTTAAGATAAGCCGCTCAGCTCAGTTGGAGGACTAGGATCTAGAATAGAGATTAATTATACTTACACCAAATGGTAATTAATGTAGACATGTAATCTTCGATTCTGTTAATATTTAAGTGAATATTGTCTCAAATATTTATAGTTTAATAATATCTACTTCTTTATTGGCATAAGAATACAAATGAAAGGTTAGTCTGTATGCAGGCAACCCCATTCCAGAAAAGTTCATATTACCGATAACACTGCGCTACTTGAAAAATTTAGTTTCATATTACATTAAATATTATGTTTAGTAAAGACACTACTAAAAAAAAACATTAATAAGAAAATAAAGATAAATTCAAATATTTCTCTACTGAAATTGTAAGGGAAGCCCCAATATGGGAACTGTGGGCTGATATCTGATAGTTTTCTGGTACGTATCTGCTGATACTGATGCCTGAACAATTATAGATTTTAGAAATTGAAACTAAATCCACTTGGGTTAGCACTACAAAGAAAAAGTAGAACATTTTTATAGAGTTACAAATGCAGCAAAATGAATAAAATGCATTTTAGCACAGCAGCATACACAAGTGTCGCCCAAACGTTCAGCTCTTCCCAAGTACAATAAATGTCAATCGCCAGACATCAAACCAGTCATCAAACTTTGGTTTGAAATATTAGTCAAATCTAAACATCTGTCTGGTCCTGAACACTTTATGTTCAGCAATCATACTCATATGATTCCCATATCATCGTCCATCCTTGGAAACCTGTAAACTCATCTGCCTTATAACTGAATATTAACTCATTTTTCATCATCATTTATCCAGCATTTGTCACAGCCTTAAATTAAAAACCTTTCTGCTGTCAGATGCGAGCAAGAAACACTACGAAAAGCAATACACTAATCCCACTCCCTACCAAGGTAACAAATAAACATGCTCATCCTCAGCACACAGGCTGCAGCTTCAAGAGGGTGGACAGCTGTGTTGATACGAAGTCTAAAACATCTGGTTTGATTCTGTATACATTCTATATAAATTTACAGAATGGGCTGCTCAGCTGAGAGGAGGTGAGAGGAGGAGGAAGCCACCACCACAGTGTGTATGAAGACTGTAGTGGTATGCAGCTTCCGCACTGCTCCCTCTTCACTCCAGTATGGTGGGGCGTCTCCTCTCCCTCTGCCTGTGAAGCCCACTCCCAGCTGTCACATGGAGCCAGCCCAAACTTCACTAATTCACTCTGCCTTCATTAACACGGCGGTACTTCATCTCCTAGCCCGGCACGTCTGTTCATTTCAGAAGTCTCAACCGCTTCTTCTCCCGTCACTGGGGACTCAGGCTGACTCGGAAGTTGTCGACAAACGCGCAGAATGTGTTTTTCTGTTCTGCCTCATTACAGCTGCGCTGTGGTCCGGACTAGCCCTCTCACTACGCCAGCGTCCCAGCCTGTTGCTCTAACTAACTGGTGTCCGTGTAAACAGAAATAGCTGTCACTCTTCATTCTGAGGGACACGAGTTAACAGCTGTAAAAAACACGAATGTTTCTCCTGAAATCTCTCTCTCTAGCTGACCGACCGAGCGAGCGAGCGACGCTGCCTGTGAGGAGCGTCTAGCTTTTCTAGCTTTCTGACTTGATTCAAAGAAAGCAGCCGTTTCCCGTTAGATGACGATAAACGAAACTCTGCTATAGCCGACATTTACGGACTCGTGGATATGAATTATTCCTGTTAATGATTCATCCTACTTACAACAAGCAGCGCTCCGATGTTCCCGCGGAGAGATTTCGGTCCACTTGATTACTCGGGCTAATGTTTCGGTGAAATTTCAGCGCAGGAAGGTGTTCTAACCGCAGACAGACAGACAGACAGAGAAACACCCCGCCGTTCGGTCGTACAGAGCCGAAAACAGCACTAAAGCAGGCAGCCCGCTCGGCTCTGGTCGATAGTCTGAATGTGGAGCTGGCTGTGGTCGCTGCTGTGTCTCAGACCACCACAAACAATGTGCTCCTCCGTCCGAGAGCAAAGGAGCGCTGCAGGCAGGCAGGCAGCAGCAGCAGCAGCCCACGCCCAGCCCCGCACGGCAGCGCCGCCCAGACCCACACAAGAGCCTCCAGTGGGGCTGCTGGGGGGCTGCAGCGGCTGACCACCGCCATAGCTCACATCATTGCTTTTTTGCGGGAACATCTCCAAATTTTGGAAAGCAGAAAGATGTATTAAGATGTAAATTCCATTCAAAAATATAAAAACATAATTTCTCCAGCAAGGATTCTAGCAATATTACAACTGAGTGCTGATTGGTTGGTGAGCTGATTTTTTTTTTTTGCTTTTAAGCATGTACAGGGCCAAATGTTACAACTCCAGTTAGAAGTGACATCTTCCAGTTACAACTTATTGCATCTTGTAGAAAAAACTAAAATATAAAAATTAAAATACTAAAATATAAAAATAAAAACTTAAAACAAATACAATACAATACGTAAATAAAACAAAGAGATAATAATATAAATATTGTTGTGCTCACCACTGTTAAAAGAGACACTGCTTTCACACAAGTCGTGGTGCTTTATTATCCAGCTGTTGTTGGCCACAGCCACGCTGTACATAAGTGAAGCTTTTCTTTGTCTGGTTTCTTAACCCAGCTCACGTCTCTCTTCCTCTCTCTCTCTCTCTCTCTCTCTCTCTCTCTCTCTCTCTCTCTCTCTCTTTCTCTCTCTCCACACACACATACACACACCACCCAGGGCGGTTCCTAGCCCCCACCTCTCCAGTCAGAGTCTATAGCAAAATGAACCAAGTGCAATAAGTGCTGGAAACACATAATCTAAAGCTAACATGTCAAAACTTTTCTTGTTTTCTTAATTAATTAATTAATTCATTCATTCATTCATTCATTCATTCATTCATTCATTCATTTTTAATTCCAAGCAGTATAAAAAAGGCTTTACAAATATTTTTTCTACAGCAACCTTAATAGACAGAGCAGCAACAATCAGTTCAATTAGTATTATACGATTCTTATTACACAAACCCAAAAAAATACAAACACAAATTGTACAAATTGTTAAGAAAAGAAAAGTGTAGGAAAATAAATTAATTAATTTTAAAAAAGTGAATCATTAATTTTCAAATTACACTTCATGAGCACAAATTTAGGGCATTTTTACCGCACACGGATTTTAAAGATTTGTAATAGAAAGGCGATTCATTTTTGAATGCTAACCAACCAGGGAAACGCACACGTCTGATAACAAACACTTGTAGTTCAAACTGAAAGAACGAAACGTCTGCTAACGGACTACAACTCCCAGCAGCCCCTCCTGTGCCGTATCCAGGAAGGAATGTTTCTGTTGTCAAGCAAACTTCTCTAGCTAGATTCTACAACATAGCCAGCTAGCTAATCACTCACCTGCTGGGAAAAAGTGGAAAAATGTTGTACAGACTTAATTCTGACAGTTTAATGGCGCTTGTAAGGTAAAGAATGTTATGTCTTATTGTAGAAAATCCGTAGAAACGCAATGGTTTTGTTGTCTAAGTCAGAGTACACTTTAAAAAGTTTAAATGTTGGATAATTTAACTTACATAAGAGTAAGTCCAAGTATGCAGTTAGTTAAGTAACGTTAACGTTAGCTAGATAGGTATGTAATGGGATAAACGGTTACATTGTACCTTTGGGAAATTGTCCACAAGATTTGGCTTGGAAATGATAAAAATGTATGCAGTTGTCAGTTCTTAACAAAATTGTGTCTGCCTTCTCCAGGTAGCTGGTGGCAAGAGAAGATGAGTTGTTCACAGAAACCACTTCCAGGTAGGCGGCCAGGTACAGCTCGTTCTTTTGTGACAGAGTTTGATGGATCTGGCCAAATAAACCCAAGCCCCGTCACTGCTGTGGACACAGACTTACTGGTTGAACTTTACCTTTCTCCAGAAAAGCTGGTAAGTTCCTTAAAAACTCAGACCTCATCTTCCTTTTACCATTAAAAATAAAAGTATAGTCCAATGTTAATATTTGTTTATTCATTGCCTCACAGAGGAGTCTGTCTGGATCTGATGATCTAGATCAAGTCACAACCCTAGAGATGTGTGTTGACACCCGGCAGAACACCTTAGGCAACTTTGGTAAGATTAACATTCACAGTCATCTTCAAACACTGTTTTATTCATTTTTAAAGCAGATTTCTGATATAATGTGAGGCATGAAGAAACTGAGATGAAATATATATTATGTACTGCATATCCAACTGTGGCCTGTATTACAAAGTTCATCAGTAGCCATTTGTTTTAATAAATTTTAAATTTCCATCAACACTGAATTTTTGCTCTGAGTCATGGTACAGCAGCAATGTCAGTCTTTGGTAGCATGGCCCTACTCTTCTGTTCTTCTCTCGTACTCATTTGTTCTTTATGGATTTCCTTTGACCCAAGAAAACCACGATTGCGCAACTTGCTCAGGCAGAGCGGAAGTTAATGAGGCCAGAAGTGAATCATGTCTCTTTAGAGATACTACTTGCTAATGATCAGGGTTTTATGAGATTGGGCGTGGTTGGAGGGAACCCAATGAAAGACCCAACTGATTTGCATCATCAGCTTCTGTGACATCTCATTCATTTGTCATGTTGCAGGTGTGTACTTGCCCAATCTTGTGCAGCTGAAAATGAACAACAGTTTGATCTTATCTGTGCGGTAAGGCTGTACTTTCCTTCTTGCTGTTACTACTAGAAATAACCTTTTGCTAAACATACCGTTTGCTGTCAATAATATTTCAGTAGTTTTTCTGGCGTACTCTGTATTTTTTTTTGTTCAGACAGCTTAAATGAAAGAAAAAATAGATGAAAATAAAAATCAGTATGTGGCCATGTGCATCTGCATGTATTCTTCTTGATCTTTTTGTGCTCTCTGTGTTAAAATATTATGAGCGATAAATTCTTTTATTAGACATTATTATTATACTTTTTATGTTTTAAAGGGCCTATATCCTACATTTTTATTGTATTTTATTTTCCACCTGAGATCCTCTTTTTTTAAAGTTTAACATTGGTTTTATGTACCAAAAACAGTCACAATTCACTTTAACATTTTCCAATCTCTCCTCATCTTATTTTTCAGACTGATATATGTAAACTACCTCTGTTCCCACTGCCCTATTTTGTGCCTCATACAAAAAGCGGTCTGAGCTGAAACACTCCTTATAACTTCAGTGTGGATGGTTCGTGCTAAACTGCTAAAATGAGCTGTTTGTGCAACTTAGTTTAAAAAAAAATGTAATGTAAACATACTGTAAAACACAAATATCATGCCGAGGCTTTTTTTTAAAGAAACATTGAGTCACTTTGCTGGAAAATATGAATATACATCATTTAGAAGATCAGAAGAATATATTAATTCTTAATTTCATCAAGCATGTAGTTGGTTTCAGCATTGCTTCGAAAGTGTTTTGCTGCCATCTCACAGGTGCTGTATTAAACTGCTTGCTGTTTTCAGGACATTTGCACATGCGCAGACTGAGAAAAATGAAAGAAATCAGAGTAAGAAATCAGAATATGCTGTTTACATGACTACTTGAGTAATCAGATAACTACTGAAATCCAATAATGATTATTGGTGTACATGTAAACGCACTCAATGTAAATCATCACTCTTCACTTTCAAAACATCAAGGGCAATTTGTTTGTCCATATCAAAACGGTATGTTTAGCAAAAGGTTGTTAATACCATTAAGCTTTAAAATCTTATTTAAAAAAAAAACAAAAACACTTTGGTTCCCTTCAGAATCTTTCGATGGAGTTTTTAAAAACAATCCATCAAGAGCTTTTTTTCTAAATAAAAGTTGGCCCATGAGGATGTTGCACTTTGTCACCCCAAGACAAAAAGTGTGGTCACCCCCTGGTCTGTGGCATCACAACGAAGAACGCTTTTTGGCACCTTGTTTATTCTGTGTAATTAAATCTGTAGTAACATCATTTCGTTTGTATAGTACAGCAAAATGAAAGTAATAGAAAATAATTAGACTGTTTATTTAGAATAAACCCTGATCACAATTTGGTTTAATATGAATAACTCTAAGTGCATTCAAGACGTCTTGGAGTGTGAAAGTAAAATATGGATGTGATTGAAATATCTATTAATCTCAGGTTATATCACATAGTGATTATATTAAAATTATATTAGAGTATATCACCTAAATGCAAAGAAAATGGAAGTGGACTGGAATTTTGCAGAGTGATGCCTCTTTCCTCAGTAGAACGCTGTGATCTGTTAAGTGGTACAGGTGCATGATCTCCAGTCCCCTGGAGATAAGCCTGAGCTGGAGTATAACACTCAGCCTTAGAGAACAGCAAAATCCCATTTCCTGAATGTGGTGATGTTGCATATTTAGAAGTTGACCCTATGTCTCAACGGACGGCTTTGTAGATCTGACCCATCTGGAGAACAGGTTCACTTGCCACTCACACATATGAAGAAAACATGTGTGAGAGAGTCTGAGAGGAAGAGAGAGAGAAAGGTGGACACTGGTATTAAACTCTGCACTACTGATCGTGATTATTTAAAGGGCCCGTGTCTTGGAGTATTGAACTTTCTATCTTTTTGTGCATTATGTTAAATTTCCTTGTTAAAAAGGCATGCTAAAATGTAGCGTTCGTCACCCTGAAAATCCTGAAATAGTCATTTTAAAAGTCATAGGTGTTGGATCAGATTCAAAGACGTCATATGTATTTACATATTAACTTTAAGGCACACACTCAAAAAGAAGCTCTGAGTCGATGTTTAGGGGTTAAATGCAAAATCAACATTATACTGATAAAGATATGATGACAACAGTAGTTAATACTTAACTTACATTCTCAGAAAACATTGCTAAGGCTTCACCAAGTTTTGACAGAGTTCTCTTTGAATATTCTTTGCACGCAATCATCAGATTCAGCTGCTCAGGGAGGGGGTCCGAAATGCAACAGACAATACTAAATGTTTTTCTGCATGTTACATGCAATTATATGCAGTTCACTCAATTACATGCCATTTGCACCAGAGAGGTCATTGAATCCCTAAAACTTAAACTGCATAGCTTGAAATAAAAGAGTTTGATGTAGTATGTAAACAGTTTCAAAAATTGTTTTTGTGATGCCACAAAAAATGACGCATTTCAGTATATCCACCTATTTAGCCTACAGCAGTTTATCTCTGTCCATTCATGTTGAAGTGATAAGGAATGTTTCAGCCAAGGCTACTTTCTGAATGAAGTACACTAAAGGACAGCCAAAGAATTCACATATATTTTTACATACATCAGTATTATTGGCACAGCTAGCATTTTTGAGTGTTATTAAATATGACAGCAACAATGAGATATCAGATCCCAGTCACAAGACGCACTCTGAACCAACACTTTATTAGGAGCACCTGTACACCTACTCAATCATGCAGTTATCTAATCAGCCAATCAAGTGGCAACAGTGCAGAGCTTAAGATCATATGGATACAGGCCAATAGCTTCAGGTAATGCTCACATCAACCTTCAGAATGGGGAAAAAATGTGATCTCAGTGATTGTGCCCGTGGCATGATTGTTGGTGACAGATGGATTGGTTTGTGAATTTCTATAACTGCTGAGCTCCTGGGATTTTCATGCACAGCTACAACTCTAGAGTCCGGAATAGTGCAATAAAGAAAAAAAAACATGCAATGAGTGGCAGTTCTCTGGTTGGAATCACCTTATTGATGAGAGATCACAGGGGAATGGCCAGACTAGGCTACGGTAACTAAGATAACCACTCTGTACAATTATGGTGAGCAGAAAAGCATCACAAAATGCACAGCACATCGAAACCTAAGGTGGATGGGCTACAACAGCAGACACGCTCACCAAAACTGGACAGTTGAAGACTGGAAAAATCTAGCTTGGTCTCATCAATCTCAACTGCTGCTGAGGCACACAGATGGTAGCATCACAATTTGGCACCAACAGCAGGCTGGTGAAGGTGGTGTAATGGGGTGGGGAATGTTTTCTTGGCACACTTTGGACCCATTAATACGTCGCTTGAGTAGCCTAGTATGAGTATTGTTGCTGACCATGTTCATCCCTTCATGGCCACAATTTACCCATGTTCTAATGGCTACTTTAAGCAAGATAATGCACTGTGTCACAAAGCAAAAGTCATCTCAAACTGGTTTCATGAACATGACAATGAGATCAGTGTTGTTCAGTGGCCATCCTAGATTTGAATTCAGTAGAACACCTTTTGGATATGTTAGGACGGGAGATTGGCAGCATGAAAGTGCACCTGAAAAATGTAAGAATTGCATGCAATCATGTCAACATGGACCAGAATATCGAAGGAATGTTTCCAAAATCTTGTGGAATCTATGCCGCAAATCACAGGGGTTAGGCAGTACATCGTATGATTTAGTCCGTTGTGTGTGGGCTCAATGGCGGAAGGGAGGAGAGGGAACAGACAGAGGGACAGGAATATTGGACAGCTCAAAGCTGACTGGGGACTTGAAAGACATGATAGCATTTCCTGCTCTGGGATGGTGGGGCGAACAGGGGAACGGAGAGGTCCAGCACGTGGTTGAGGGGAGAGTGCGAGGGCAGGCTGCAGGAGGAGCAGATGGGAGTGGTTGCTCATTGTTCACTGTGTTTCCTCAGGGATCTCGGAACCACTCTCTCCCACATCCAAGTGCTCTCTCTGGTTCGCTGTGGCCTGGCCGACTTGGACGGAATCCTTTCGCTCTCCTTACTTAAGGTAATCAGAAGCTTTCAGAGGCAGATGGGGTTGATTCATGTTATCTGAAAAGACGCAGTTGTTGATGTTCTTATGTCTTATTATTTTAACTTTTAACCCTTATAAGACCCAGTTATTGCAGGTGATTATTATTGCTTGACATCAAAGCAAACAGGAAAAACTGTTGCTACAGAACATAAATCAATTAAAAATGTAAGTCATTATGTAACACACTATATAATTAAATAAGTAATTACATAATTACAAGTGGATAGTATAGCACACTGAGAAAAAGTTACTTTAAATTTACTTGTTTAAAAAGTGTGCATCAATTCCACATGAATGAAATACATTACATCAACACAATTCTTTCCAAAAGTAAATAACATGAACAAAAGTTATTGTTCTTTCATGTAAATGTTGATGAATTTTTTTTTATCATGTGGAATCAATGTACACATTTGAATCATGTAAATTCAGAGCAAGCTTATTTTTTTGAGTGCAAAAGCAGATATAATAGAACGTTCCTTTGCCAGTTTCTTTATATAGAACAAACCATAATCTCTAAGTTCTACAGTCACTTGGCACCATATTTGTGCTTTTGCCTAATTGTAACTTGTTGGTCACGCATGCGATGACCAGTGACTGTAGAATTACAAAGAGTTTATGCTTTGTTCTTGGAGTGTCAAAACAGAAAAAAATGCTTAGAATTGAAATATCTATATTAGACATCTCAGGGTCTGCCACATAATGATATATCAGGATTATATCAGAGTGTATTGCATTCATCCAAATGGAATTGAAAGCGGGTGTTGGCAGTTTTCCCCTGCAGGGAGAGGCATCCTCTTACATCTCCTCTCTAATCGAATCCTGCATATTAATCCCTTAATTCCCAGGTTTATTACATCTTAAAGCTTACTATTCATTAAAAAACATGGAAAATAGTGCAAACCGATGGAGTTATGTTAGGTTATGAGAATGAGGCAGGGAAGAGTAGACCTATGAGGAGTTAAAACTTATTACTTAGTAACTACTTATTACTAATTATTACTTAGTAAGTAGCATCATTTAGTATGAAACCAGTAAGTAAGTTACGAGAATGAGAGACTAAAATATGGGCCTCATACGGGCCTTCGAACCTCTTAAATGGCAAGGACCTGTTGGCTGGTCCAAACTTCTACATTTCTATTACTTAAGAATAAGTTTGTATTGTAGTCCGTTTAGTTACTGAATCATAAGTCTTACGTAATAAGCCTGAGTTTGTAAGGAGTTAATCTGTACAGGTGGAATAGCAATAACTGTATTGTACCAGATAAAATACCAATTTTATAGTGATTATATCAAGAAGAAGCTCACTTGTGTGAGTTGAACATATTTTACTCTTTTCCCAGGAGCTGTATGTGGCCTACAACAATGTGTCGGATCTGAGCCAGATCAGCATGCTGGAACAGCTGGAAATGCTGGATCTTGAGGGCAACAGTGTGGATGACCTGGTCCAGGTGCAGTACCTGGGACTCTGTGGGCAGCTCAGAACCCTGTCCCTGGAGGGAAACCCTGTATGCACGTGCCCCCACCCAGGAACATCAGAGGTACAGGAAGAGCAAATTCACCATTGCTAGACATAAATATATGTTTAGAAATATATGTTATCCATGATATTTTGTGCTTTGCAATAAATAACCTGTTGACCTACAAAGACTACACATCATATCTGAAACGTCATTTACATGCTGGATGTTTTTGAACGTAATTCAGTACTGTTCATTTATACTTAGTGCACTGTAGCCGTGTTATTACTAAAGGCCCAGATAGCTCACATTAATAAGTAATCATCTGCGTGCATTACCCACAATAGAAACAGCTTAGTCATTCATGCCTTATTTATGACCAAATGTTCCTCGATATTACTGACTGCTGCTTGCAGCTTTGCCGTTTCAAGATGATTTGTGAGGATTTGTGGTGAAGAAGCACCAGATTGGGCAGAATGACAGTAAGAGAGAGTGTATGTTTGATAAGATTAACAGGCTTAGCTCCTCTCTGTGGTTGAGCTCAGTGACTTCAGACCGCAAGCTTAAGGCCGCTAGCCACTGCAAGCCTGCTGTTTTGATGCTAGAGCTGAAGCTAATTTCGCAACTGTGTCTTGCACAGATACTATACCACAGCAGTTATATAGCCATGACTGTCACCTCTGTCCAAATCCATAGAGAACCACAAAGCACTGTATGGTCATTTTATTGCTTAAAGCCCCAGGAAACCTAAATCTTTGTTTTCCCTTTTAAGTAGGTTAAGCCTGCTCTTGTGAGCACACAGGGATGTAGCTAGAACATTTAGAATGGGGTGGCCAAGTAAGACCCAGTGATTTTATTGGGGTTTCACACTGCTAGGGAAAAAAAATTAAATATTGTTATATGACATAATAATATGAAAAACTGGCTTTTCTCTGTACATAACTAGATCTGTCCATTATTTCCACATGAATAAAATAGTACGTCAATACAGCTCTTCCCAAAAGTAAACCTAAAGACAAATCTGCATTGATGTAACATATTTTTGTCACTTATGAGGAAATTATGTATTTGAATCAAATAAACTAAATGCATTGAGTTCGATCCCTGGTGATTCTACAGCCGTCCGTAGCCGGGAGTCCGAGAGAGCACAATTGGCCTCGCTCTCTCTGGGTGGGTGGGATGGCCCCTCCTTCTCCCCCCATCACTCAGCGCGATGCTGGTCAGCGCAGGCGTCTGTTAGCTGACGTAACAGATCTGGCGGTTGGCGCTTTCCTCCGAGCGCGTTCGGCTGTCCAGTGACGTTGCGTGAGCGGCAGTTCGAAAAGAAGCGGTGGTTGGCTTCACAGGTCTCGGAGGAAGCCTGCGTTAGCCTTCACCCTCCTAGCGTTGATAGCATCGTGTGATTGGGGGAGTCCTAACTAGCGGGTGGAATTGGAGACGACTAAATTGGGGAGAAAATCGGGTAAAAATTAAAAAAAAAAAAAAAAAACTAAATGCATTGCTTTTTTCATTGCACAATGTTAAGTTTAAGAAAAACATTTCATAGACAGGCCACAGAAGTTATTAATTTAGGCTGCCCTTGCTACAGGTTATACAAGAGTCTAATGATTAGAAAGCTAGCCAATCACCACTGTATAATGTGACTTACGGCACATGTACAAATTAACCTGTAAAATGTGAATGGTTAGCATAATAAATGATTATGGCTTACTAATTTTTGATAGTTAACTCAAACTACCATTGCATAGCCTACTTAATACTGTAGCTCAAAGAACAGCTCTGCTGAATGAACCCAGCACACATTCACTTGCCTGTTTGCGTATCACAGCAAGATACGCTGATGAATAAATGCAACATCATCATACTCTTGTAACAGATTGGCAACTACCCTGATGGCAGATTTTCACCATAAAGCATAACTGATGATAACTGACTGACTGCATGATAGCTGACTGTCTCACTTGGCTATGCCTCCACAGTATACACGTACAAAATGTATGAATAATTGAATAATTGAATAATTTTCTAGTGCCCACTAAATGGCCAATATATATTGCCTAAATTCTTCTTTAAGTGTAAACTGGGAAGTCCTAATCTTGGATAGTACTTATGTAAGCAGTCCCTTAACCAATCTTCCCACTCACACAGCTTTGACAAAATTGTGCTCATCTACAGTTTCTCTGTCTTTGACTCAGAAAGAATGTAAAAGATGATTTACTGAGAGAATGGTAACGCCGAGCAAAAGTTAAACCAGTAAGCATAACTGAGCTGTCAAGCAAGCTCATTTGTCTGCCTGACGTCCATCCGTTCATTAGTTTTTTCACCCTGACACACCAGCATTTCCTGGGTGCACATCCAGCAGTGAAGTGAATAAGAACATTTCCTTCTTTAGGATGTCGCCGTAAAAAAGCTGCAAACAAAAAAAAATACATTTATTTTTCTTCACCGTTTGAGCACAGCAGTTGTCCCTTACATAGTGTCAAAATTTCATGATGAATGGACCAATAGAAAAGATCCAAAGTTATTTACGAAAATTCTCATTACAGTAACTTACATCAAAAGTAAAGAATGTTTTTGCCTTTTCCTGTAAACTAACCTGGAGATTTTTACATTTATTTTTATTTACACTATATATAGTGCTTGTTTCATTCATTTACCCGCTTTCGCTGGTTTAGTTCTCCTTCAGTGGTAGAGCAGGCTGGGAGTGTTATACTTAGGTCTGTCAATCACACATGCTCATCAGAATATAAGGAACACAGTTCTCAGATAGGCCTGATCAGCAGTTTTTAAGCCATATTTTAGTATATTTCTGTTTTGTTTGGTTTATTCAAACTTTGCTGTGTGTTTAATGTACCATTTTATTAGTATACAGTTTTTTTTTTTTATCATGTTTACACTGTGTTACCTGGGACTGCTATGCTATCTCAAAGAGACAGCTGTGCGTTATGCTGTCTCCTGCGTGCCATGACAACATGCCTCATGCCTGGTGCGTGAATTTGCTCTCCGTCTCTGAAGTCTGACCTGGAAGGCCAGAGACATAATGGCTCCGCAGGTCACTGAAATGCAATTAGCCTCCTTTAAGACATGAAAGCTGCTGCCTAATGTTTGATCTCACCACACCAGGCTGCATCCATTAGAGAGATCATGGATGAAAATGTACAACACTAAAGACTTGTCATATACAGAAACATTGCACACCTAGACACCTTCTTTACCTGTTCATCAGCTTGTCTTGATGCTAACACTGTATTCACCTCAAGCCCACCCGATTCAATTCATATTCTCATTATTTTAGATTACTTCCAATAGTCTTTTAACACCAGTCATTGTTTTTCACTGGTTGATCTGAATGCTTCTGCTAATGATAAGGCTCACCTCATTATCACTGCAAAAATGATATCTTGGGAAGTGATATTTTCTTAAATATAGTTGATATGTATCTAATATTTCTTGTTTTGAGATTGTTCTAAGCTTATTATAAGTTTGTTTAACTTATTTCCAGGCATTTGTGAATTTATCTCACTACACTGACAGATAACTTGCTTAATCAAAGCATATTTCTGAAACAAGCAGAATTATGTAGTGAGATCATTTCATTTGATACTTAAAATAAATAAAAATGTCTGGAAATAAGTTAAATAATCTTATAATAAGCTTACAACAACCCCAAAATAAGAAAATAATGTGCTCACAGTTTCCCATGGCTTTTTAAATGTGGCACTATTGCTTTGCTAGTGCGTTTTGTCCATTACAGCTTCTTTGCAAACTAGAAACTACAGTCATATGGGAAGGTTTGGGCACCCGTGGTCAAGTTACATGTTTTGTTGTTTGAAAGTGAAAATAAGTTAACACATCCTCAAACACACTTCTAAACATTTTAATGCACACTTACTGTTTTTTGCTGAACTCATCAGATTGGGGAAATATTTAAACATAAACTGCAAAATTTGGGACATTTTACTTTATTAATTGTTATACTTTGTAAATAGATCTTATATAAATGTTATATAAATAGAAATTTTGCACAGTAATTTGGAGAAAATAACATATTTAAGCTTGTTAAGTTATTTTCACTTAAAGAAACAACAAAACATCTATTTTGACGAGGGGGCACCCAAACTTTTGCCTATGACTGTATACATATTTTAATTGTGGTGTTGTGATGTCCTTTTTTCTACCATGTTTCCCACCATTAAACCAGAGAATTTTCTTTTTTTCACCTTCAGACTGAAAAATACATTTGCCACGGATGGCAAATCAAAATATGAAATGAAAGGTTTTCTCTGTTTTTATTGCATGTGCTTTGTTAATGATACTGACATGAGATATGTGTTCATCATTAAGATAATGAAGATAATAATCTATGGTGTTGGTTTTCTGCACGTCAGAGTGAATATGTGCGACTGTGACTGCAAGACTCAATCTTTATTCGATTTCATTTCTTGCACTGGTTTCCTGGCACCCAGTAATCAGTTTATTTTCACTCACCACCAGGAATTATGAAACTGGGGCAAACCCGCAGCCAGGCCAGAGACTGCTGAATATGCATTAGCTCTTGTGTTGAATAAGGGATGTCCTCGTTTGCGTGTCTTTCTTTCATCCTCTCTTTCTTTCTGTCTCGCTCTCCCAATTGGTCATGGATGTGTGTTTGGTGCAGCTGTAGTGCTAGCTGATCATTTTCTCCCCATTCTTTCATTGGTTATAAAAGTGGGTCATACGTTTGCTTTGTTGGTTGCCCACCCTGTCAGGGGAAATGCTTTTTGTGTGCGTGCTGTATTCAACATATTTAACTTGAAATATGGGTAAGTGGAAACATGAAATCCATCTGATTTCCAGTTACTCATGTGTTTGCAGCTACTCATCTAAGCTCTTATTTACCTGTTGGAGTTTTGCTTTTGCACTCACCTGGAAGGCCATAGGCTCATAATCATATTTTTACAATGATGAAAACAGTCTCTAGACATGCACCTTTGTGTTCCAACTTATGTGTCATTCAGTCTGTGAGCATGTTTCTCAGAAGCACACTGGATTTTTTCCATTGGCATTTCTTTTCAGTCCAGTGTTAGGCTTAAGGGATAGGTTTGTTTTTTTAAACCCAGACTAAAATCGTGGCTTCTGAACATTTATAAGCATTGACATATATAGCAGTAAGGGGGCAATGTGTGTGATTATAATGAATTATTATTAGGGCTGCACTATAATATCGGAATCATATCAGTATCGGCAGATAATTGCCTAGGAAAAAATTGCCGTTGGACTGATGTTGAGATGTGGTCGATATTTTAAGCTGATATTTAATGATGCATTTATTGTACTCTGGAACAGGGAACACTGGGCACTAAAATGACTGGATTTTATTCATTTTACTGCATTTGTAACCCCATAGAACCAAAAGTTATATTTCTCCTTAAGCCTAATCCAAATGTGTAGTCACAATTTCGACATTTTAGAAATGTATCAGCTGGGGATGTGCATGAGTACTCATGTACCATTCGAGGTGCCAGTATTAGAACACTGAAATCACTATTCAGATACTCGTTATTTTTGCCTGTATTTGCTAGTAAGTCTGTAATACTATACTTATCTGAAACGCGAGTGCCTGAATTTGAGTGTGTTGCTGAGGAGGCAGAGAGAGATAGCACGGCAGAGATAGCACGGCAGTATCACTAACTAGATTACCTACTCTAAATAATACAAATAACATGTTGGCAAATCATCCAAGAAAATACCTTGTGTAGAATCAGTGTCCTCATCAGCATCAATCGTGACGCTGCTCATCTGAAGAGGCGCTACTCACTCAACACAAAAAACCTGCTTATGGCCCATTAGCTGTTTTAAAATGATAAAGCATGTTCCTCTGCGTGCTGCTATATTTTAGTGCAACATATTTTAGTGTTGTCACCTAAAGTAAGCCTACAGCCCTTATTTTCACAGCCAAAGTCTGTTTTTTAACTGGATATCTGTTCTTGAACTGTTAGAGATTTTTGAATATCAAAATCAGTCGGAATGCACATCCCTAGTATCACCATTGGCAGAAATGTATAGGAAAAATATGAGATGTCAGCATCAACACACAATTCCAATATCAGTGCATCCCTAATTGGACTCGTTAGTACCTGTCCAGGGTGTTTCCTGCCTTCCGCCCAATGACTGCTGGGATAGGCTCCAGCTCCCCCGTGACCCAGAAAGATAAGCAGCTTAGAAAATGTGTGTGTGTGTGGACTTGTTAGTGTCATCATCTCCTCATTAACTAGTGAACCTGTTTTTTAATCTATGTCCCACACCGAAAAATTCATGCATAGTTAAAATATTTGGAGAATTTCCAGATTAATCGAATACATTAACACAGTTTTGTCTTTCGGTTTACTTAACTTTGGCAATAATTGTGTTGATAAATATTTTACTCAAGTAGAAATAATGTACACATTTGAAGCAAGTAAATTTAATGCACTACTTTTTTTGTAACTTAGAGTCCAACTGAGTCTATTTGACTGACAGGTATCTGAGTACAACTATAGGTCTGCTGTGAGGAAGCTGATTCCACAGCTGCATTACCTGGATGATGCTCCAGCAGAGAATGAGGAGCTTTGCTGCTCCAGCACTACGACGGAGGACTGGACTCTGTTCAAAGAGTCCATTAAAGACAGTGCATCCATCACAGACAGTGCCAGCGACTGCCTGGAACTCATAGGTGTGGTTCAGATATAGAGCATTCAGGCAATTAAATGAATCAATGCAGTGATCAGTCAGCTGTTCATTAGTTAATTTTATATCTACTTTCCAAATCATTAGTTCATCAAATGCTCCTTTAAAAGGATAGTTTGGCAAGAAGTTTAATATACTGAATATTTTCCTCATTAAAATATAGCTAATCAGCCAAGGTATGTTCAGTGTTTTAAATTTGCTTCTTTAGTATTGCACTGGAGCTACAAGGCTAATGTAGCTGACAACTAATGGAAGCTTATTCCACCCCAAATAGCACTGTGCAAACATATGTCTGAATTATAGTTGCCATAAACCATGTTGAATTGATAAGTAGTCTCAAATAAACCTGCTTATGCAGTTTTGACACTGTTTAACTCAATTTTAGCAATATATGGACAAAAGTATGCAGCATAGCTAAAAACTGTAATAGCAGCCATGTTGAAGCCTGATTTTTGTCCACACTTTTGTCAATTTTTATAGATAACAGTATCATTTGGTGGAAAGATGTATAAATCAGATTTTTTGCCAAACTATTCCGTTAAAACAAAAGTTATAAATTTGTATGGAAGTCCAGGCTCAAATGCATCTTGTGTTTTGTAAAATAGAGGAGAGAGCCGCCTCTGTGTGTGGCTTTTCCCGCCCTTGCTCTGCCCAACGTCCAGGCACGAGTCTCAGCTTCAGTAGCCTCTCCAGTCGCCCTGCAACCGCTAGGCCTCCCTCATTGTCCACTAGCTCGAGACCTGGCTCAGCTGGCACTGATCCTGACACCCCTGACCATGAGACCAGTGACCTAACACATGGTAAGACCTCTGTGTAATGTTATATATCTAACACAGAGGTGTTCAGCACAGTCCAACACATTTTTTGTTTTTTACTGCTCAATATTGCCTCCCTGAGGTCAAATAAATAAAATCATGTTTATCATAGATAAGCTCCCGACTGTTATAATCATGGACACAATGAACATATCACTGCTGTCAAAAAAACAAAAGAAGTATCTCGATTCATTTTTGGACATAATTTTAGACAATAGAAAATCAGCTGCCCTTTACATTTTGTGAAAATTTCATGATAAATGTACCAATAGAAATGCTCCAGAATTGCTTGAAATAACATCTGTTTACATTAACTTACATTCAAAAGGAAAAACATATTTTCCTGTAAAGTTGCCATTTTGGAGATACTTGTTTTTCTTTGGACAGCAATGATATATGCATTAGTGCATAACTATGCAGTCATATGCATAAGTTTGAACACGTTTTATTGATTGATTATTGATGAGTGAAAATAAGTTAACACATCCTCTACAGAGAACACACTTCTGCACATTTTAATGCACGATTACTGTTTATTTGCTGAATTTAACATCTTTGGGAAAATAATAAAACATAAAATGTGGCCTGTGCAAAAGTTGTGGCACATTTTATATTTAATGTTTTATTTTTTTCCTACGTAAAACTCAGCAAATAAATAGAAATTGTACACTATAATTTGCAGACAAATGTCACATTTAAGTTCCCTGTAGAAGATGTGTTAACTTATTTTCACACAACATGTAATTTGACCAGGGGTGCCCAAACTTTTGCACCCAACTGTATGAATGATTCTAGCATTAAATGTCATTACAGTCCTTGCTTGACTCCAACCCTAAATTGTCCACTGGCTTATGTAAATGCAAATACATATTGATATTTCTATCTAGTACTCATCCAGAAGAAAGAATTCACTTTTGAATCTGTCTCCATAGGGGTAGGAAGGGTTCTCTTTTGTGGGAATCCACTTCAAGCCGTTCGAGCACGACGTCAGAAAATAAAGGTAGTGTTGGGTTCATTTGGCATTATTAATGACAGCAAGCACTAGGGAGCACTAGGGGGTGTTGGAAGTGGGATGAGAGTACATAAAGAAATTACATTGGCTGTGTGACAGTGGTGTCCATCCACCTTTATCCATAAAGGGCTGGTGTGGCAGCAGGTTTTCATTCCAGCAAAGCAGAAGAACACCTGATCAGTCGTTTGAAGACCGAGACCAGCTGACTAAACAAGAGGGATCAGGTGTGCTCCAGCTCTTTTGAATGAAAATCTGCAGCCACACTGGCCCTTAGCGGATAAGACTGGACACCCCTGCTGTATGAGGTATGCAACTGCAACGCTTTAAATAATGTTTTTATTCAGGCCAGTCCAGCTATTTTCAGTACTGCTATCTAACAGGCAGGGCTACCAGTACACGTGTTACCGGTAAATATATTATTAAATTAAGCCGCGCTACATTATATGATCATTAAAGCCTTTAAGGCTTATTGAATAGCAAAGGCTTTTTCCTACAGGCCAGTGTGGAAACAAAAAAGTGATGAAAAAAAAGATGGAAAAAGTGAGAATCTGAAAGAAACTGCTTAATTGTTTCCTGTTTCTTCATCTAGCTCCAAGTTGGCAGCTCCCACTCCAGGCCATGTACTCAGCTGGGTAGTTATGTTCCTGAACACACGTACGATGTAGAAGAGACAAGCAGTCAGGACCGCAGCAGCGTCTTTGCTGAACTCAGAGCCTGGAGAGAAGAGCACAGCAAGTACTGACTGAGGAAATCTGCTGTTTCAGGTTTACATTTAGTGCTACAAATGTTTAGCAAAGTGTGTATGTTGTTTACCATGTTTCTGTTACATCGTAGACGTCTTTTGGCCATTGAGAAAGATCGCCAGCCACAGGTTCTGAGAATCATCCATGGTGATGATGATGAAGAAGAAGAGGACGATGATGGCAGCAGTACTGAGTATGATGAAGGAGGCCACAAATACAACCCTATCAGTGATAGAGAAGAAGAAATAAAGGGGGGGAGAGAGAGTACTAGCCACAGATATATTGACTCTCCAGATTCCTCTTTCCAATCTCCTTCACCAGGTAGACGATTTTGTTTCTTCTTACGCATTACTGACCAAATTTACTCATTAAAGGAGTACTTCAGCAGTTTTCAACGTAATCTCTGTTTTCTGCATCTGTAGCATACAGTCAGTTACCACTGACAATAATTTCAAAGTGTTTCCCTGTCTTTAGACCAGAACAGAAACTTCATTGACTCAAAACACACTTATACTAGAAACCTTTGGGCAGTTCCAGAATTCTATTGGTAAGCATTCATGTGAAACATGTTTTTTTAGACTACTTTCATTAATTATTCATGAAAATATATAAAAAAAATCTTTGTAAAAACAGCGTTCAGAGATGAGTTTAGTTTTCTAGATGGAAGAATTTGTGGTGATTTTGTTACCAGTGTGGTGGTGTGGGTGGAGTTTTCACAGGTTCCTGCCTGACTGCATATGGACACCAGAAAACCTTACATAAATTAAAAGTAATCTGAATTGCTTTTTTTTACTCTGTAGCTCAAGTGTTCAAAAGTTGGATAAAACTTAATAAAAACAGCTTTGGTAGGACATGATTATCTCACCCTAAGGCAGGCATGTCAAACTGGGTACCTTTTGGGCCAAAGTGCTGCAGAGATTAGTGTTTACCCTCATCTAACCATTTGAATTCAGTTCATGAAGGCCTTGTTAATTAGCTGATGAGCTGAATCAGGTGTGTTTAATGAGGCAGTGTACTGAAGTCTGCAGTGTTTTGGCCCGAGAGGACTGGAGCATGATACATGTGCCCTAAGACCTGTATTACTGAAGTGCTTGTAGTTTCAAATTTGCATTATATTGTCATGTGTCAAATGTTTATCCATATAATTCAGCATCTGCCCGATGTTTTCTATCATTAGTGATCTTTCAGTGACTAGCTTTTCCATGCTTTTCTAATTACATGGAAACATGAATTGAAATAAAAAATAATTGGCTATTGTAAGCAATAGTAGCATGCAGATGCAGAGGTTAGGTTGAAAAGTAGTGAAGTATTTCTTTACAATATAGTGATTTGATACTCATGCACAACCTCCTTGTCTTTATATCAGATCTGTCTGAGCCAGGTGCTCTTTCCCCAGAGGTGTCCAGACTTTCTTCGTTATCAGACCACACCCCTTCTCCACCATCCAGAGACATGCCACCCACTAGTGGGGGGAGGATAGCAGAGATCCGGGCCCGTAGACTGAGAGTCAGTAATGCAAGTGTTGGTATACATAATCCTACAGGCGAATTCTTTTTACCAAATCCAACAGCAGCAAGAAGGGATGCAAACATTAAGGCTGTGAATGTGGAGACTGTGAAAACTCAACCTGTCCCACCTCAAATCCTCCGCAAGCCTCACAGACCAGACTCCAACCCTGTGATCTCCACTTTTAAGGAAACTTGGTATGTACCATTCGTATTTGTTTTTTTTACATTAGTGCTTTTCAGATGCCTTAATATAGTTTAATATGTAGCCTTTTGCTTTTAGTGCAGGACCACCTGAAGGAAATAGTTTGTCTATCAAAAAGCATGAGCAGATTGTACGCTCCCTGGTGCCCCAGAGGCCAACACCTACACGCCCTCATACAGCGAGAGCCGCTCTGCAGAGACTTCCTGGCCACCGAACTCTCCTCCCCGGCAGAGGGAGCCCCCACCTGGACTGAGGTCTTCTGCGCCGAGACACTGTGGGCTGATCTGTGGAGAACTGTCTCTTGAGGATGTGATGAGATTGCCCATCTGCTCATGGACCTTAAGAAAAAACATACAGACACATGCTCAATTAAGGAAAACTGAATAATGTTCTCTCTTAGTCAGTGAGAATCAATAACCATGCTGTTAGGATGATATGCCTTGGATAAGTGGACAAATTGAAAAAAACACTGTTTTTTCTTTGTTTTCTATTGAAATGTTGGTCTTTAGTCTTCAAACTAGTAAAATTTCCATAATTTTCAACATCCTAAAGATTACACTCTACAATTACCTTCATTTAGTTATTAAATAGCTGTAAAACATTTTGGGTTGGGTTCCCAGACAAGGATTAAGCCTAGTCCTGGACTATATTTCCCATTAACCAGAGAATGTCCGTCCAGAATGCTATGTGGTCCAAAACTTAATGAGATCTTAATCCTTGTTTGGGAAACCGACCTATTGTGTTACAAGTCCATCTACCTAACAGCCACAATTACCTTAAACCTGATATTGAAGAAATATTGTCTCTACCACTTGGGGGTGCTCTTTAAGTACCAACCAGCCTGTCTAAAAGGGCTTTTTACATACACCTAGTGCTGATACTGTCTGAAATTTGAAACGTTTCTCTCAATATCACCTATCTAAATGGAATTGTTATGCTTTTCATGTTTTGTTATCAGGAATGCTGTGAGATATTGCACATCTGTGCTATGACAGTCAATCAGAGAGATTTTTTGACAGTAAGTGAGATTTCATAACAGATGACAGTGAAACCCATGAACCCGGCAATTCACTCTGAAGTTGAACTTGTGTTTTGACTAGAACACTAGTGAGCCCTATCTTGTCTCCGCACGTGGACTTCCATGTCGACACCAGGTGAGAAGCTTCAGTGTTGCTTTTGGAATTTTGAGCAAGTCCAATCGTGTATGGCAGACCTCCGTGTGTGCGGAAAGGAATTTCAAATAGAGATGAAAGACACACTTTGCCGCATGTCACTCAAATATGCAGTTTTTAAATCCAGCCAATCTCAAAATACAAAGACAAAACACAGCAATTGTAGGCAAATAGCATTCAGTCAGTTATCTGTCAGTGGCGATATGAGTTGACATTATGATGTATCTTGTGCTGAAACTGCTTTGATAATCAGTTGGAAGATCAGTACATGTCAGAGAACACCCAAAGCACAATTTATATTGCTCAAATGCTTCTCTTTGATGGCTCAGGAGACGTCATGGTGATTCTCCTGAAACTTAAGGAGAGAAAGCATTAGAAAAAAAGCAGAGAAAGATAAAGAAGAGATTAAAGTATAGTTGCAGATAAAGATGAGCATTATTATTGTGGCACATCTGAGTACAATGTGTCTTTCATTGAGTTCTCTACTAAAACTCAAGAGGAGACAAGTCGGATTACTTTCTGAGGTCTTTTGCTTAGGAGAAATATCTGCACAGCCGAAGACTTAAGCAAAAGTCTCTTTCGTCTTTCCGCCTGATATCATTCTTGTCTAGGAGAAACTACAGGGAAAGTGGATTATCTTATATCCAACCTCCTCAAAAATATCCCCTGAAAAATGAATAACTTTGCTTTATGGTCATTTTAACTGGAAATTAAATAAATGAAGGTTGGTCTCTGATTTTGCACAGTACTCTGTGTAGTGTGTGATAATTAATTAATATTGTGATATCACTGATCTGTTTCTATTTACTTTCAGCTTTGAAAAGATCCTCTAACCCCCCTGCACACACCTTCAAGGCTGCCCCTTGTTGACCCTTACTTGGTTGTTTTTTTGTTTAGTTCAGCCTCACTGCTTATTTCATTTTAACACACAGCCTCTTCAGCTAAAGAGCAAACATTCGCATGGCTGCTTATATGGAGACTGAAGCGAGAGGAATGACCTTTACAGTAAGCAAAGTGTGGAGCAAACAGCACACAGCCCACTCAGATGTACATTACACACATCTGAGTACAAACTAGGCTTCATTATGTCCTATATAGACTAAATGCATGAAATCATTATCACTGACCACTATATTTTAAAGATTGTGGAAAGCAGGGAAAGTGAAATTCAAAAGCTATGGTTGACAGACACTTGCTCTATGCCCTGTTTTTTCATACTTCACATCTCAGCACTTTCCATTTAGTTTCTATTTATTTCCTGAATATCTTGCTCATTTTGTGTCAAGTTTTTCAAAAGGGAATGTCCACTTACATATCACATTTAATTTAGTCTACTAATAGTTTTAATATGTATCCAGAAACCACAAGATATAACAGAACAGGTGTTAAAATAAGACATGCTAGTGCAACTTCCGAATTTCAAGATGGGGAATCAGTGGCCAGGGTTGATTTAGTAAAAGAAATATTCTAAGGTCTTGTATTAAAGTGGAATCATACTGTATTAAATGGTTTATTGTAGAGAAACATACATACTCTGATTCTTTACAGTGGTGGTGATAGGATCCAGGGGTCATGATGTCTACAACACAAATATAGCCTATTTGTTTACTGTCCAAAACCACCAGTGCACCTACACGTGTCTTCTGAGTTTTTATATGTACTGTTGACAATGTCGTAAATCTGAAAATAATACGTTTTTTTTGGATCTAATTTGAATAGATTAAAATAAATGGATTAAAATATATTTTAAGCCAAAACCTTATTACAAAACTATCATAAAACAGTGTGTCAGACATAAGGCATATATCTAACCATCTCAAGCGGTAAATTTTTGTGCGGGGGCTTTCAGAGGTGGACGGTCTGGTTCCCATCACCACCACTTTAAACACTTCTACAAGAGCATTGGGGCAGATGCTTAAGAACAGGCTGTTTTTCCCCACTAGCTGGCTACTGGAGAAGAAAGATGTCTAATGTTACTGCTAAAAAGCCAAATCCGTTGTCTATATTTATTAGACTCTACATCATTGGATTTCTTTATTGCCATGGGGGATTCACAATGGTTGTAGAACATATTTGCATAAGGCATGCTGGGTACTGTAGTGAGAGAACATTGATGAAAGAAAACACAAAAAAGATAGAAAATTCTGTTGTCACAATATGAGGAAGCTGAGTGACACAATTTGCTGCACTATATTACATAACAAAAAGCATTAACATACTAATAAAGCAAAGCACATATACAGTATGCAGACACTTTTGTTTTTGTTATTTAATGTACTTACAGTGCATATATCCATTTTAAATGTGCACGCTTAATGTATTTTTACTTGTACTGACTTTGTACATAAATATAGGTTCCCCTCACTGTAGGTGCCCTGTAGGTGTAGGCCTATTATACATACAGTGGGATACAAAAGTCTGAGACCCCTGGTGAAAATGCTTCTATTGTGCATTCTGTTCTAATTTAATAGGTTTTTCCTTACAACTGGTATTATCAGCATAAACAATTTGAGTGAAAAGTAGAATCTTTGAATGTTTAAATGAATTTCAGAATTTCTCAGTATTTGTTGTGCCCCCCTTTTTGCTTTAAAGACAGCTTGCACTTGAGCTGGCATGACGCCATACGTTGTGCAAAAGCCTCTGATGAGTAGATCAAATCCATCTGAGAGTTGTCTTTAATGAGCTTCAATGGAAGGAATAAGACTAAATAAATATGAACTTTTTTGTACAAAGGCCTTAACATAGTCAGTTTCACAAATGTCCTTGCTGAAAAGATAAGCACAGATCAACATCAATTCCAAACTAGTCTAAGCTGGTCTAGTACTGGTCTGGTGCTGGTTTAGCAGCATGGTCACGCTCATTGACTGGCATACCAGCATCCAAACCACAACATATGCTGGTTTTGGTGGTGATCAACATATTAACTTTTATTGTTGCTGACCAGCATACCAGCATGCAAAAATACAACATGCTGGTTTAGCTGGTGACCAGCTATGCTGGTTTTTCTAGCAGGGTTGCTTCAATTTGAGTGACCTGATGAGTTCATAATTTCCAATATTTCTTAATTTTAAAGGTAATAACTTTTCTTTGTTTCTTTTGTTTTTAAGAGTCTAAAATTTTCTGTTGTCTAAATTAACAAGTTTAAATACAAAAATACTGATTTTCAGTGAGGTCTCAGACCATATGCCCCACTGTACATACGGGCACTGAAGAAGGGCGGTTGATTCTAAAGCTAGGGGAAGTGCTAATGTTTTGATGAACATGACAGAACTGAGCTGGAACACTAAGAGGTGAGAGGTGATTAATTTATGAAGGAGTATTTTTGTATTAATTTACAATGTTGTTCTCCTTTTCTCGGTATTTTAAATATTTCATGCAGAGAACAGAAAGAAAACAGTAACCTATGACTCTGAATTTTAACTAGCCTTACTAGCTCGTTCAGCCGTTCCTCTTTAAGATGAACCATGGCAACAGGGTGAAGCGTGCGTGTACATACACGAACACACACACACACACTCACACTCGCACTGATGTGGCAGCGCGTCTCCAAAACCAAACCAAAGCGACACTGAAGAGACGCAGCAGACCTGGTAAGTTTACCTCCTAAGCTTTCTTCATGAGCTTAAACAGAAACGCGTTAGCAGCTTGTCAGCCCTACTCTGTACAGAACTTATCCGCGTTAATTATAACGAAAAAGGCGTGTTAGCTGAGTTAGCGTCGACTAATAGAAGTTACATCAGCGCTATCGCTAGCTAGCAGCATTCGAGTCAAGCGGTGGTGCGAAGCTGAATTCAGCTTATTCGTCAGCTTCTCCCTCGAAGTTCCCCGTTCCACCTTAAACGGTGCACCATTTAAGGTGGAACGGGGAAATTCGAACCAGAAGCTGGCGAATAGGAAGCCAACTTCAGCCTCGTAGAAGTGGTGGTGAGGCTGCTGAGATTGCATCTTGCTAGAACTAGATCACCTGGGGCTTCAGCACGTCTGCCAGAGTTTTGCGGACGGAAAACCTGTTTTTTATACGTTTTTTTAAACCTTTTATTGCCGAACTGAAGGTGAGTTCTTTGGTCATGAAATGGAAAACGTTAAAAGTCAAGTCAGGTGCAGTGCACCTGACAACAAATTGTACTCTGTGTCCGTAGCTAAGTTAATAACTGTAGCTTAACCTAACTTAATGGTCCTTTTTAGTAAAAGCCATTCCGCTTGTTTGTAAAGTTGTTGTTACCTGGAAACCAGCAGATGGTTCTCATCTGCAGACTCAATTCTGTAGGGACAGGGAAGTTCAGTCCTGCCTCTGTCTTGTTCGTTAATCACTGTTGTGTGCCATTACTTGAAAGGCGTTTGACCTGATGAGTGTGGACATGTTGATAGGGCTGGGCGATTTATCATCTACACCGGTATACTGTGATACTGACACTGTCATGTTTCTTTTCAGTTTAAGCAATATTTTAGTTAAGGATTTACCATTGTGGTAAGTGTGAGCCGATACTGAAATTCATCATTTTAGCTTAGTAGCCCAGCGTCACTTATATATTCTGCTCTTCTGGACTACAAAAAATATGCCGTCGAATATTGGTTTGAAATATCGATCAAATCTAAAATCTATCAGATGCCAATCATTTTTTTAAAAGAAATTATCTGCAGATACTGATGTGATTTCTATATTATCCCAGATTTTAGTGATATTTTTAATAGGTAATGAGTATTATATCCAAGATATAATCCTGATTAAAAAAAGAAGTGTCCTTTTGCTAAGCAGTTTTATATTCTCTTTTATGCAATGCATTCAATTAAATGTATTTCATTTGCTGGGTGCTTCAGATTGTCTTGAAAGACCATTTTCACGTACATAATAAAAGTTTTCTTTCTAGAAGAGTGCTTGTTTTGTTCAACTAACATTATGATACTGTGTCAGGTTCCTTTTGGTGTACTTTTAAGAGATGAAAACAGCAAAACAGTCCAGTCAAAACAAGGCATATCAGGTTTGCAAGACATTCCTTTGACAGTTACAGTCTTGAGGACACATGAGTTCATTAGATTTGTTAATGCAAACTTAAATATCATCAGACATCAAGACCTATCTGGAAAATAGCAAGATATTTAATTTCATCAAAATGCAAAGCACCTCTTGAAGATTATACCTTAAGTCCAGTCAACTTACTATTACTACTATAGAGTGCCAGTACTAGATGTTGTGTCAGGAGGAATAGATTAGTGAGCTAGCAGAGCGGGAGAGCGCTTGATGCACATACCTATTTGGTGTTGCTTTAACAGCATACAAATAAGCATTTGATGTCATGTAGATTACACATCTAGGAG